CAAGCAGCTGAAGCAGCTGGACTCTAATGAGATGTAACAAGCAAAGAGCGATTTCTCTCCGTGCTCATGTGTATGGCCTGAGCATGAAGGCAAGTGAGGAAGACAGGGTGATCTCCCAGATGGGCAAAAGTGAAGTCACTCACTTCAAAGTCATCATTTGGTCAGGCATGGTGGCACATGCCTACAATCCCAGCACTCTGGGAGGCTGAGGTAGGAAGGTCTCAAGTTTGAGGCTAGTCTGGGCAACTTAGAGACTTAGTGAGACCCTCTCTCAAAGGAAAAAGGAAAAAGGCGCTCAGGATGTTGCTCAGTGTGAAAGGCCTGGGTTCACTCCCCAGTGACGGAAAGAAAAGAAAGAAGGAAGGAAAGAAAGGAAGAAAGAAAGAGAAGGAAGGAAGGAAGGAAGGAAGGAAGGAAAACATTTGCAACTGGCCTAAGACTTATTCCCAGGGAAGATGTTTGTGATCCTCCCAGGTTCACTACTGAGTTCTCTGGAGAAAAGCAAATGCACTCACCACCACCACCACCTTAAATTGCTGCTTTCTGCTTAAAGCAGACGGGGAGTCTCCATCAGTCTTTGCTTAACAATAGGAATTTTCACCTAGCTTTACAGGAAACCCACCACAGTGATAAAAGGAGGGGTCCCTTTTCCCAAGCATTGTAAATCACAGTGCTTCCTTCTGTACAGTTGGGCCAGGACAGTGGGGATTTGTGTCCTCCCTGTCCTTTGGCAATGTCTGGAGACATTTTGGGTATCACAACTGGGGGAAAAACAGTGGCATCTCTTGGACTGAGGTCACAGAGGATGCTCAACACCCTACAGTCCCCAGGACAGGCCGGCCATACTCATCTGGTGTACATTGTCACTAGTGTCCAGGAGGAGGACCCCCGAGAGAGCACCACACAGGCGAGCAGTTGTGACAGGGAATATTTAGAGGCTACCTTGTTTCTTGACATAGGCTCCTTCCTTCGCCTGATCACTACAGCAGCGGATCCCTCCCTCTTGCATTGGAAGTGAGAGAATCTGGAGGACATTGGATCTTAGAGCTGGAAGTAAATCAGGAGATCACCTCGTGCAGGCCCTATTACCAAAGGTAGCTCTTCTCAAACTTTGCCTACAAATCATTTGGGGTGGTAGAGATGCAGATTCCACTCCAGGGCAGAAGCATTTCAGACCTGCCCTTGCTGTGGCACTGCAGGCACAGGCAGCCCCAGCTGCACGGGAATGATGAAGTGTAAGGAAATGTCCCTGTCCCACAGATGACTCAATCGTAATCCACTAAAGTTAACTCACTTCTCCCAGGGCATTCAGCTGGAGATTCTGAAAAAGAGACTTCCTGGACCCTCCCACCCCTGCCACCAAATAGTGAACCACAGAACCCACTTGTCCTCGGGCACCCCAAAGGGTCTTGGGGAAGCACAGGGTCCACAAGCTCTGTGAGCACATTTCCACTGTGCAATGCCCTGTTCTTTCTCCCTGGCTCTTTAATAATCAGCAGGGTTCTGTTCGGGAGGTCTAAGGAGAGATGATAGAAAACAGGGAGGTCAACTTTTGGGGGAAAGGGTTTGGGGGCAAGAGCAGAGAGGAAAGTGGGAAGAAGGATCAAAAATAATCAAAGTAATTTTGTAGGAAAATGGGTGGATCTTTGAGACTGTAATGCTAAGTGAAATAAATTAGACACAGAAAGTTCGTATCACATGGTTTCTCTTATGTGAGAAATGCAAAATATAAATAATTTAAAGAGCAAAATAAAAGAGAGATGGCAGGAAACAGGGAGGTAGACTCTGTGGAGATGGGAAGGGGGTCTGGGACTTGAGGGAGCGGGAGGGCGGGAGGGAAGGGGGTAAAAATGAGCAAGATGTGTACTAATATGTACATATACATGTACTAATTCCCCAAAACGAATGTAATGATTATGCATCACAAACATATACCAATAATAGTAATAAGAATAACCAGCAGGGGCTCTGGCTCCAGCCAGCACTTCGCTTTGGCAACTCCCTGGGGAAAGTTCCTTGACAATCATGTAAACCGTCCAGCAGCCATTCCTGGAAATGTCTTTCTGGGGACAGACTGGAGTTTGAAAACTGACAAAAAAGGAAACCTGTTCATGCAAAAGGAGTAAGCTCCAATTTCCGCTCCGGTTCAGGCAGGCTGGAAACAGGTGGAAGAGTGTGAGTAAGTGAAAGGGACCCGGACCCCGGCAGAAGGAAGGAATGTTCTACCAGCAAGCGAGTGTCCTCTGGACCCAACCTGTCAGGCAGCCTGTGGGTCGAGAATTTATGGATGTGTTTTCAATTTCTCTGACAGAATCTGTTTGGATTGAGGACAGCTGTTTAATCTTTGAAATATGTGTTCCATAACAATCGCTGGAATCACATATAAATCGCTCCTTTCGTCCTGTGAGCCAAACCCTGACTAAAGGGGTTTGCAAATCCCCACAAGGTGCTCTTTGCTTATTGCTCATTTGGAAAGAGAAAAAACCGTTTCTTTAATGAAATGCAATGTTGAGGAACTGCCAAAAATAGATGCTCCCTATCTGCCTTCACATATGGTAGCTTCTTTCTAGCCAATTAACTACCAATAAACTGAGGGAAGAGATGTAAAACGGGGCATCTGCATATCGCCTGGGCACAGATGGAAGTGTCTGATCCTGACTCCACCCACGAAGGCCCAGGAAGCCCAGCATGACCCAGACTTTTATTTACAAGGCCATCCTTCTTTGCCTTAGCTAAGCCCCCAGAATTAAGACTGATGGGTTGTCACCTTTGGGTCAAATCCTGTGTGTTCATTCTCTGCCTCTGGCTTTTAACTATGTCATGGTAAAGAGAAATAGCCAAGGCCCACAAAAGGCTATTCTTTCATGAGTTTTACCAGTTAACACCATGCTGCCGAGATGTGGGGGAGGGGTGAAACTGTAGTGGACATGGGGTTTTACACTGTCTGAAAATAAGCGACTTATACCCAGTCTGTTGGCTTATCCTTGGAAATACATCCAGAACTCAAGAACTTCCCTGAGGCCAGCCTCCACATCGCTCATCTATTGCAATAGCCTCTAACCAGAGTCCTGGCTTCCATACTTATTGTCCAACCACCAGAATGGTTTGTGGACAGCACAAGTCAAATACGTCACTCCTTGAAATTCCAGGTCTTTACCTGGCCCTTCAATACCCTAAGGCATCTGCTTATGTCTACTCTCCTTCCAAAGGAAAAACAGAATGGACTTCAAATACTCCCGCTCTCGCCCCATAGCCGATATATCCTCAGTTATTTATCCCTAGTGGGACCCCATCAGGGTAGGCTCATTTCCACTCCAGGACTTTTGCATTTACTGTGCTCACAGCTGGTTCTCTCACCTAGTCAGAGGGGACTCCTCTCACCACCATATTGAACAGCACCTCTTCTAGGTCATGGGTATGTGGCCATTCTTTCTTTCTTTTTCAACTTTTTTTAAGGTTGAAAATTTTCAAAATAAAAACACACAATTTAAGCCCTTGTGGTTCCCAGGGTACTAGAGAGAAATTTTTCTGTTGAAAGAAAGGATGAGGCCTGGCCTGGTGGTGCCCATCTGTGACTGCAGCACTCTGGGAGACGGAGGCAGAAGGGTCACAAGTTTGAGCCCAGCCTGGGCAACTTAGGGACTTAATGAGACCCTGCCTCAAAATAAAAAATAAAAAAGGGCTGGGGTGTAGCTCAATATGAAGGCCTTGGGTTCAATCCCCAATATCACACACACAGGAAATGAAGGCTGAATGAAGAAATATCAGACCAAACTGTACCCCTCAGCCTCCAACACAGAGTAGACATACAGATGGCCTGGGGACAGTGGTCCTGCCCTATTCTTGGACGTCTCAAGCCATGGCCTCAATTTTTATTTGGTCTCTTTGGTCGTTGCCCACTTAGCCAAGAACAAAGGATTTTAAAGCCAACCAAAATGACGTCACAGTCTTCACAACAGTCTTAAGGATGGGTCTGTAACTTTGTTACATGCCTCAGCCATGTCACCAGACAAGGTTTCCAGAGGATCTGTTGGGCAGAAACAGACTGTGAAATCACAGTATCAGTTCCATTTATGATATGCTTGTTGAGGACTCTGTGCTTGTTTTATTTTTAAAAGTGTGGTTCAAACATTTAATTTTTGATAAGGTGCCAATGTTTACAGAGAACATTGCAATTAAAAAAAAGTTGCTATGTGGTTGTTCCAACACCAAATGCGAATATATCTCATAAAAGTTGCACATAGGCTCATTCCCAGCTCACCTAGGACAGCAAATAGATAGTTATTACCGAACCGGTGAAAATGGGATCTGGTTAATGTTTCCCAAGGTAGACATACAGGCTCCTTTCTCATGTAAATCATTTCAAAAGCTAGAAGCTGAGTCTGATAAAACACTGACTACACAAAATTAAAATGAAAGCATAATATTACAATTAAATGGGAACTCACTAGTCTTCCTCCTTGGGTTTCACATCTTTTCCAGCTCAGCGCTGGATAATGAATACCAAGTAGACTTTGCACATGTTGATAATTTAAAGTAATCAGATCTCACCTAAATGAAACAAACAACTCCAACATCTTCAGTTTCTGCGACTTGTTAGGACTCAAAGTGTGTCTGTTTACAAGCCCTCTCCTTCATAAGGCCTTGGGGAAGTACTGGGCAGAGAACCTTGAGACTGCCTGCTTTTAAGCAACACCTAGTGATCAATTTTGAATGACTCACTTTGAGCACACTGACCTTTCCCTAACAGCCACAGGAACATCTGCAGTCCCAAAGTATGCACTGAAAAACACTTGGAAAACATTTACCTAGCACTTTTAGGATACCCTTTATTTGGTGTCCTGCCGCCCATTTCCTCAGTAATAGAGAGGGAAAACAAGACACAAGTAATGTGCCCTGTTGAGAACCCCTTTTCCACTGTGTGCCATGGTTTTGTACGTTAAAAATAGAGTCAGAGAAAAAGCAGAATGTTCTACAAATACCTGGAAAAGAAACAAACGTTGTTCAGAAATATATTTATTTCACCTCCCACCAGGTAAAGTGGATGGAAATTCTGCACCAGGATCTAGCAAACACCCTCAGAATCCCACCTAGGTACTTTTACAACAGTGACCAAGAGCTAGCCAGTGTCCCTCTGGAGCTCGGCTGAGGCCTTAGCCAGGGTGGACCACGTGGCTAAGGTGGACTCCTTGGGAAGAAGCCCATTAACTGTAGCAGTCCCGACTACAGAGTCCCCACCCTTGACCTTCACCTGCCTATCTGACCGTCTTCCTATGGAGGAAAGCCCAAACCCCACACCAGACTCCAGGATCAACTTGCAATGAAAAGAAGACTGGGTTATTTCCGAAGTCATTCTTGCAAAGGCTTCCCATACAGCCCAGAACATCTGTGCACTGAGCACTGGGAGAAGGCCACAGCTCTCCATTTCCCTCTTGGTGCCCTTGGCCTGGAGTAAACCATAGCCCCTTCCATGGCCTCACTAGGTTAAAAGAAAATTCTGTGGTCTCGCTGACCTTTGGCTACCTGTCCACTGTTTTCTGCTCTCTGTGAAGCTACCTGTTTCAGCTAAAAGGGCCTCCCGGATTATGAGGCCAGGCTCTGACAAATACTCTTTCCTGTTACCGGCCAGCTTTGAGGAGAGCCACGTGGGAATATGAGGGAAACTAAATGAGGTAAACTTTAAAACTTTAGGATTTATTGTCCAGGGGAATCCTGCTCCAACTCCACATGTCCTGTGGAAACCCCAATAAAAACACTAAGATCTACTGTTTAATATTTGTGCTATGGGGCCGGGGATTTAGCTCAGTGGTTCCAGCGCCTGCCGCGCAAGCGCACAGTCCCGAGTTCGATCCCCGGTACCAAAAATAATATTTGTGCTATGAATGAGACAACAAATTTCATTGTAAGACCAAAGTTGCAATTCTCCATTGACTGGATATTTCCTTGCTGATGTGGCTATTTCATGTTAATCTGGAGGGAAGCAATTGGTAACGGAAACAAATTTTCCATAGTTGACAGCATGATCTGACTTAAATATTTTAATCCAGAGAGCACGTATCCTTTTAGAACTAGAATTTTTTTTTCTTTTGGTACCAGGGATCAAACTCGAGACCTTGTGCTAGCGAGGCAGGCGGCGGCACCACTGAGCTAAATCCCCGGCGCTATAACTAGAATTTTTAATAGAAACCCACTTGTAGCTAAGTTTCTATCAAAATGAAAATTCTCATTAGGGCTAAGAAATGATAGATTCTAATTAGGCATTCTATGTCAATCTGAGATAAAAGGTGGGAAACAAGGTGCTTAGAAGAATGTTTGGAGGAGCAAGGAAGTAATGAAAGAGTAAGGAAGACACACAGGGCAGTGACACGGGCACAATGATGGGATTTCACATGGCAGATATATTCTCCTCCCAAGAACCAATCCCTCTTCTTACCAGGAAAACCTAGATTTCATTCAGAGAGAAATGTGCCTAGGTAAAACATCTCCTTCCCAGGCTCGCTTGTAGGCATAGGGAAACAAGTGACAGAATTCTAACCAACTGGTGCAGCTGAACATGTTGGGGAAAGCTCTGCTCTCCGGATACAGACATTGGAACTTGTTAATCGCCTCCTTCTTCTTTTTCCCACTTAAAAAGCAAACATGATACTGGGAGGTTCAGCCACCACCTTGCAACTATGAGCCAATAAGTCAAAGGCAGAGGATGAGGATGATAGAAAAGAAATGCCAAAGAGTTTGGGTCCCTGTTGATATTATGGAGACAGTCCTGGGGTGCCTCTCTCCCAGGTTTCTTATTCAGCCCTTCACTACTTGTTGGATTTCCTATTATTTGCAGTCAGGTGCACACAAACCTGAAACATCAATATTCAATGGCAATGAGACTGAAAAAGATGAGGATGATTCTGGGAAAGGGGAAGGATAAAGACTAAAGTAAAGAGGCAAGTAGGATAAATCATACCAATCATAGAAGGGGCCTAAAACATAGCTTAGTTCCTCCCTGCAGGAAAGACAGAGTCCTGATGAAAAGAATAACTGCATCATTACATCAAATACAAATGCCCAATGTTTAAATGGGCTGTATGAAATTGAACTGTGTCCTGTCCCGTGATTGCTAGTATGAAAGGGCATGCTAGATACATTAAAAGTGGACATTTTGCATCCTACAGAGAAGAGAATGGAACAGTTAGAATCAATTTAGTATTTCTCTTCCAGTCCATTTGGAGGAGTTCCCACTGAGAACTTGTATGCCTCATCCCCTTCACAGTCATAGGAAAAATAAGTAGAAACAGTAGGGAGCCAGTTTTGACTCTTGCATATGCTACTGGGAAATTAAAACACACTTGTGGCAAGCAGAGTGCATACAGGCCACAACCCATGTAAAGTGCTGGACTGATCAATTATTAAGAATGCACAGGCAACAGTAATAAGCAAATGAAGCAAATGCAATGGGGATGTAAATCAATACTTGGGTGTATGTCCCTCAAGATAAGGATGCAGCCTCTCATCTGAGAGAAAACAACATGCAATACAACATGCTTTAGTAGTTCATCGTCCAGGCCCAAGGTGCTGGTCAGTCCCAAGGTTTTGGTCTGACGTAGTGAAATGTTTTCTTCCAGGTCATCATGGCAAGCACCCATGATGTTGGCTCAAAACTGGATAAATAAGCAAAACACTGGGTAATGGGCTGAGAACAGGAGCAAGAAATGGGACGGTCGTGAGCAGACCCACTGGGGTAGGCTTGCAGCCGTCACTCTGTCTTTAGTATGATTCAGTAACATAGCAGCAAAATTTCAAGAATCAATAAATAAGGACATTGCCATGCCAGTACCCCTTTGTCCCTTGGACTCAAAGCTTCACATGTGTTCCGAAGTTACCAACATCAGCCTTGAGCAGACGAGGCCAGAGGTTCTCCACGCAGCACTCGTGTTCCATGTCATCCTAGAAACCACATCACTCACACCCACCCATATGCCCCCAAGGCAGTTAGCAAACTCATTAAGAAATGCGACTTGAAACTCATAAGGGGTTAAAGCTATAAAATGTCTACATTGATGGTTTTGCTTTGAAAAAAAAAAAGATTTCATCCTTCTTCCCCTCCTTTCAAAGGAAGCTTTTGTTTCTGCTGCTGCCAGTGCATGATCTTTGATTTATTTACTTATTTTAAAATGATATAGTCAATGTTTTTTCTCAAAATAATTGCCACCTTGTTGCTAATTAAACATGATGGATTCAGGGTCCTGGTTTGCCATCTGGGCCATGTGTCTCAAAACATCCTTTTTTGTGATGATGCCAAGAAGTCTCCTAGAGTGGAAAGAAAATGGAGAAGAGATCAGCCTTGCACGGACTCACTTTTGTCCATAAGCCCCAGTGCCTCTTTCCCCAGAGCACAGGGTTAGGCGAAGTTTCCCAGCTTCCCTTCTGGTTGGGCAGGGTCAATGGACTCAGTTCCGTCCAAGTGGTCCACAGATGAAGGTGACAGATGCCACTCCCAGTTCTCCTGCACATCTCATCTGTTAGCCAGAGGCAGAGGCAGAGGACTTAGGGCCCACCAGATTTAAAACACCGGGTCTATGCCACATTGTATGGCCAAGGGCCCACACCTGCAACCCACATAGGATATGACGTGTGGGCAAAATAAACGTTTATTGCATTAGGCCACTGAGACTGCAAGCGTGTTCATTATAGCAGTGATCTTATGATGACTAATACACTCTCTTAAATTTCAAGACTATACTCAATTGTAAAAGTGCTTATGAAAGCCATTGTGAAAACAACCACACCAAGAAATTCCAAGTGTAAAGAATTTTAAATGTAAAAAATGTTACGTATAAGATAAAAATTTATTCTATTTTTGATTTGATCTTGCTGGAAGGGTAAAGTTCAACATTCATCTCTGATCATATATGCAAATTACCTCCTCTTCCAAAATCCCATTGCTTTCAGTTTATAAAAAAAATGCTATTTACCAGTGTCCCTTGCATAGGACCACCTGGACTGTATGTCACTCAGCCCCACGGAGCACCATTCACAAACACTATAATGTAAATAGTGCTCCCTGTATTCTGCAGTACCCTTCTGCATAGCTGTGCACAGCAACCTTTGCTTTATTGTTTTATTAAACACTGAAATGACACCTGCAGGTACAAATCATGCCTCCTGGGTAAAGTGAAAGGTTCGACAGAAGAGGGTGTGCATGACTTCTTTGGAATACAAGTTCCATTACCAAATAAGTTTTCAAACGACTGCTCACTGTATCTCCATCATACCCAAGAAAAGGAATATGGGCAAGCAAACTATAACAGTCTCACATAAGAATATTGTATAGCCATTAAAACGACAGGATTCACAACCAGGCATGGTGGCGCATGCCTGTAATCCCAGCTACTTGGGAGGCCTGGGCAGGCCCAAGGTGGTAAGTTTGAGTCGCACCTGGGCAATTTAGCAAGGGCCTGGGGATGTAGCTCACTGCAAAGGCCCTGAGTTCAGTCCCCACTACCACACACAGAGAAGACAGGTTTATTCTCTGTGTTCACGTAAAACGATGTTATACCCCAAAAAATTAGAAAACACAACTGTAATACCCTGCCATTTTTAAATTAAAGCTAAAAATAGCTAAGTTCACCTTTTGCTAATAGTAGATAAGAAGAGGGGATACAAGTATTCCAAGGGGTATTCACATCAGTTACACCTGGTGAGAAAGTCAGGCTGTAATTCAGACTTTGTTGTATTTGACCATACTCCGTCTTACACAGCCTTGAAAATGTGATTTCTTGTGTCCATTTTCCCATCTATCATCCTAGGTAGACAGGTGATAGGAAATGCTGCCCCTTCCCCTCCACCTCAGATGAACATCTTTAAGAGAGAGGAAAACAGCAAAAGGGGGCCTTTAAAAGCAGGCTAAACAGCAGCTGTGTGTGAAGGGGTAGTCGCCTGAAGGGAGTGTGGAGGGTGGCTTAGGGGGACAGACCCTCAAGCTGTTTGGGGTTCCTTGACTTTAGTCATGGCCATGCATTACTTTAAGTACATTTCTAAAATGTATCACAATGCAATAAAATAGAAGATGTCCCGTAAAACAAGATGCTGTTCTACAACCCTATCGAGCTGAGTCTGAGTCTTTTTATTGGTCACCCAGGGTGCTTTAACAAAATAACATAGATGAGGCGGCTTTTTCAAAGTGCCAGATCAAGATGCCCACAGGTTAGTTGCTCCAGGGGCCACTCTCTTTGGTTTACAGATGGACACTGCCACCTCCTTGCTGTGTCTCTACATGGCTTCTTCTACTCCTCTTGTCTCTCCCTCTTATGAGGACATCAGTCCCACTGAACTAGGGTCTACACTAATGGTCTCATTTAACCCTGACTACCTCCTTAAAGGCCTATGTTCCAACAGTCACACTGGGGGTTAAGGCTTCAATATGGGAATCTAGAGGTAGGGACACAATTCAGTCCATAGTAGTTCTTCAAAGGCCTCGCACTGAATAGCTGCAATACAACAATGCCCTCTGAGTGCTTCCCTTTCTGCACCAGGTAAAATTCCCAAACATGCAAGATGTAAGAGCTGATTTAAACAAACCTAGCTTGTTCCCCCAAGTGTTGGTACAACCCTGCAACAGGGACACCTAAAGGAACCCAACACCATCCCTCTTCTTTATAGTGAGAAGCTGGCTTGGGCTGGAAATGTGAGTATGACCACAGCTGAAGGAATCAGGACCTCCAATGGCTCTGGCCTCTTCGCACAGAGATGTTGCTGAGTCCAGCTGGTGAAAACTGATGAACACTTTTCCATCCTGATTTGTCTTAGTTGCTTGGGGGTCAACTGCATAACAAGGGCAATTGCATTCATTCAGTGACAGGTCAGCATTTTCTCAGGATGCCGTTCCCAGCGCTTTGCCAAATCGCCTGTTTCCGTGGAAGCTTTGGTGAGCCCCTCGCTCATCAGAGCTGCCTTTCACCCTGGCAGCTGAGAAGAGCAGCCCAGGTCTCTGGACCTGCAGCACACTGGAGGCTCAGAGGACCAGGTAAAGAAAAGAGGTTTCCGCCTGGGGCCCGATACATTTTGTCTTTACACTAATGGTGTTAATTAATTTCAAGGGAGCAGTAATAGCCAGGGGAGGTGGCTCTGACACTGAGAAGGGCTACTGCGTAAAAGCAAATGGGCACCCCCATGAGGTCCTGCCTATACAGCAGCAGCTATCCCAACCTGAGTCTATAGGACTCTCCCCATCCCTCTATGCCTCTGAAAGGATGTACACAGGGCTTCTCCACCCTGGCACAACTGATAGTAGGGGCTTGGTCATTTTTTGCTGGCGGGGAGGTGGTAGCTGTCCTGGGCAGGCCTCTACCCTCTATGTATGTCTGTGACATCCCTGTCCCCCCCAGTGGTAATAACAAATTTCTCTAAACTCTGCTAAATGTCTCCTGTGGGCAAGGGTCAAAATCACCCCTTGTTTGAACACCACTGCTCAATTTAAAAGTGATGAAATATTGCCAAACTTGATGGCTTATAGCCACAGAGGTGAATACTCTGGAATAGTCCTTGCCACTTCATATTACTTCTACAACCCAACTGAGCTCATCACAATTCTTGTTTTTGTTTCGTTTTGTTTTGTTTTTTGGTATGGGGGATTGAACTCGGGACCTTACGCTTGCGAGGCAGGCGGCGGAACCACTGAGCTAAATCCCTGGCCCATCTAAATCCCAGGTCCCACAATTCTTAACCAAAGACTACTAGCTAGCACCAACCCTTAAGCACTTTCAATATCACTCCAAGCTGGGAGCTTTCAAATAAGAGTTGTCCAAGCAGAGCATGGTGGCACATGACTGTTATCCCAGAACTCTGGGAGGCGGAGGCAGGAGGATTGTGAGTTCAAGCCCAGTCTGGGCAACTTAGTGAGACTGTCTTAAAATAAAAATGAAAAGGGCTGTACGGACATAGGTCAGTACCAAGACCCAGAATTCAATCCCAGTACAGAGAGAGAGAGAGAGAGAGAGAGAGAGAGAGAGAGAGACTGACCTCTATGCGTGCATATATACTGTGCCATCAGTATGGTAGGTAGAAGTCCTCAACCTGGCCCTATACTCTCACGACTTCACTGAACAGGTTTCCCAGTAGCCCAGGAGTCTGGATCCTTGGAGATGATGCTGCATACCTTTTAGCTGCCCCCAGATGTACTCCTCACTCTTACTGAAGGCTGCTGTGAGGACGACACTGATATCCTCTGGGGCCTGGGGCCTATACCAAAGGCCCTTGATGGCTCCCACTCAGCACAGCTCTGCCTCTTAGTGCCTGACAGCTAATCATGCTTTGAGAAATAGGACCTCTGGAAGAAGCCCAGATGGGACTGACTCTCAATCCAATCCCCTTTAACCTTGAGCAAAGTGTTTTGCCTCTTAGAGTGTCATATCCTCATCTCAAAAATAAAGAGAACTTATTCCTTCTTTCGTTTCCCCTTCCCCTCCCACTTCCCCTACCCCTTTGGGCCTTTTCTTCCTATTTCAAATTATCAATTACTCATTTTAAACGTTTTAGTCCTCATTTACACTTTCAGTTTCTCACACTAGAGATACTATTTGGCATTTACACGTGTGTTCTATTTAGGGAAAGGAAAAATTATAAGAAAAGAAAAAATGGAAACAAAGTCTGTGTAAATAGGGAAGGGTGGAGGGGGTGAAGGGCACACAGGTAATAGGGAAAAAATAAGAACCAAGATGCATCATGTACAGGTACAAGCACCCAATGATAAATGTAAACATATCGTATACCTAAAATGTACCAATAAAAGAATTTAAGCAAAAAATAAAAATAAAGAGAATCTAAATGTCCACCACCTAATTGAACCAATAAGTAAATGTAGTGCATCCATATAGTCGTGTTACTTACCATAAACGGGATGAAGCACTGACATATGGTACAACGTGGGTGAATTTTGAAAGTGTTATGCTAAGTACAAGGAACCAATCACAAAAGTTCACAGTTTGGATGATGCCATTTATATGAAGTGTCCAGAATGGGCAAATCCTTGAAGACAGAAAGATTAATGGTTGCCAGTGGCCAGGGGAGAGCGGGACAGGAAGTGACTGCTAATGGGAATGGGGTTTTATGGGGAGAGATGGAAATATTCTGGAATTAGAACAAGGCAATGATTACACAACCATATGAATACAACAAGGCCCTTGAAGCGTACAATGTAAGATAGCAGATTTCATGGTGTATGGATTATATCTCCATAGAAAGTGAGGTGGGAAGGAAGAAAGGGGCAGACAGACTAAGTTAAACAGTTACCACATGACTCAGCTATTCCATTTCTAGGTATATGCCCGGGAGAAATGAAAATATATGTCTACACAAATCTTCTACATGAATCCTCTTTGTAACAGTATTATTTATAATAGTCAATAGTGGAAACAACCCAAATGTCCATCACAGAAGGCTGAATAAACAAAATGTGGTCTATCCTTACAACGAAAGAGTGTTCAGCCATAAACAGAATGAAGTACCATATGTGCTTCAACATGGATGAACCTTGAAAGGAGCCAGACACAAAAGACCCCATAGTATATGATTGCATGACTACATGCCTGCGCAACGTCCTGCGAGACCAAGCCACAGATTAGTGGTTGCCAACGGCTGCGGTATAAGGAGGTGACAGCCAACGGCTACAAAGATTCTTTTAGAGGGATAGAAAAGTTCTAAAGTTGATGGCGGTAATGGATGGACAATGCATTTCCTACCCAAACCACCAAGTTATACACTTTAAATGAGTGTCTTGTACAGTACGCGAATTATCTCAATAAAGCTATAAAACAAATCAAGAAATGAATCAGTAAAAATAAAGGCAAGGCCTCATAGGCTACCCAAAGTTCCATTCACCATTCAGAGACTAAGAAGCTGGTGATGACAACAAAGGGCAAGTGAAAGAACTCTCTAACTGACCTCTGTAAGAAAGCAGAACGGCAAAATGAAGGGCAAGAGAAGAATAGATAGAAGTGTAAAAATGTGAGCATTTCCAAATGTTGGGATTTTGATTGCCCTTTCAAAATTTTTTAAAAAAGGAACAGTTATAAGACCAGCAGCTTGTTCCCAAAATATGCCACTCTGCAGGTTGTGATCAGGAGTGAAATCAGAGAAGGGGCGAGATCATCCCGCAGGGCTAGGCACTCACAGGTGTTCTTAGACTATGGGTGGGGGGGCTTCATGGCTTGCAATGGCAACTAGCAGACAATCCCTCCACTCAAAACTGTTCCATCGTCCTCTGCCATCTATTTTCTACTGGAAAGCCTACCTCAGGACACTCTGCCCTGCAATGACTGCATTACATAACATGATATACACTGGGTTACGTCCATGTTCCTTAGCAGATGACAAGCTCCTTCGCTTTTTTTTTTTTTGGCTGACACTTCTTGAGTCTTTTTTAGTCCTCAGCCAGAACAGATGCTCAGATGCTCAGACGTTGATGAAGCCAACGTCTCTTTGAAAACAGTGTGACCACTTGGGTTTGCAAAGTGATGAGATGTCTACCAACACACACACACACACACACACCCCCTTACCATATCTATAAAGCCTGCATTTTCTATTCTTCTTATTTTCTTTTATCTTGGAGACAGAATAAAAAGATCAGGTACAGCTGGATGCTATGGGGCATGCATCTATAGCCCCAGCTGCAAAGGAGGCTGAGGCAGGAGGATCACTTGTGCCCAGGAGCTCAGGACTAGCCTAAGCAACATAGCAAGACTCCATCTCAAAAAAGAAAACAAGATCAAGCATTTACGGTTCTGCAAACCTCCTCTTTAAGTTTTGTGACTACAATGTCTGAAAGTTAGGTAGATTACAGTTACACTGGGGAAATATTAATTCAGAAGCTGCCTTGGATTCGTGCATAAATTGTGCCCTGGCCTGCAACAGTAATTATCCCCAAAAAATAAAGCCAAATATCAACTCAGAAGGAGGCAACATGAAATTCAGCAGGCTTCATTAGTGGCATAAAATGTCCTATTTGATTTAAATCAAGTGTTTGAACTTTCAGCCCATTTGGGTGGCAGTTGAAGCAAATCCAGTGAATTATAAATGGCCAGATCTCTGATCAAGAACCTAATGGAGATTTGAGCAGTGGGGCTCTTCTGAGCAAGCCACCCACCCAGTCCCTGCAGGCCACCTAGAAAGGGTGGGGGAAATCAGATGCCATCTCGCCTACTTGCTTTTCTTTCCTAGAACTTTCACAGGGAAAATTGCACCCAAATTCAGTGTAGGCTTCCTAGACTCCTGTATTCTGGGCACAAAGACTTCTCTGCTTCCTGGTCTGGGTTGAAGAAGACCTTGGGCCCCAGGCCCTGAGAAATCTTGCAAATGCTCCAGATCTGGGGACAGGCTCCAGCTCTCAGCCACCCCTAGCAGGAAAGGCACATGGCGAGGGAATGCATCATAAGCTGAAAGCCCAAAGAGATGAGGATGAAAGGCCAGAAACAAGCATCCTTTGCCAGTGCTAATGTATCAGCATCTGTGTTTGTTTAAAATACGTAGAGCCAGAGAGCGAGAGAGAGAGAGAGAGAGAGAGAGAGAGAGAGAGAGAGAGAGATTTTGTTTTCTCGTAGAACATTCAGAGTCAATTTCAGCACCCAGATCTTCACAGGAAAACCCTGTGGGGCTCTGAGGTGTGAGTGGGTGCTAAGGGCAGAATTTCCTGCCTGAACTGGGAATTCCAATGATAACTGGCATTGGATTATTACTTTAAAGGAAAGGAGAAACTGCTATACACTTGAGATGGCACAAGTGATCACGCTGCCAAGAGCTGTAAACCAAGTGCAGAAATGGTCTTCACTTGTTCTCAGAGCAGGGTTTCTGGAGTTGCAGCCCCGCCTGGGAGGATGTTAAACATGCACATTCTTCAGCCTCACCTAGACCTCAAGGATCAGCAGCCCAGCAGTGAGGCCAAGCACACTGGGTTTACCTGGTTTAATCTTGTGGGGCATTCTGATGCATGCTCAAGTTTGAGAAACCACTGAGCTCCTTTAAAATTCACCAACAGAAATGACTCACCTCCACCCTCAAACACAAGGACTCATTTATTTTTTTTCCCTACTGATGGCACCTCCCATGTGTAATCCACCCTTCTGGCTGCAGTCAGAGCTAAGGAGGCCCCTCAAGCTGCCCTTTAGGAGTTCTTTGGGTGAATGTGCACTTTTAACCCCTTGCAAACCCTTTCTGTCCCCTGCCCCCAGCACAGCAGGAAGAAAGCCAAATGAAGGGGACTGCTTATTTGGTTAGACATGACATCCAGGCCAGGGTCACTCAGTGGCAGCGCTGAGGACATTTTGGATCAGATTTGTGGGGGGGGGGAGCTGTCCTTTACATTACAGGATGATTAGCAGCATCCTAGGCCTTGACTCTCTAGAGAAAAGCAGTACCTCTCCCTCCAGTTGTGACACCCAAAATTATCCACAGACATTGTTCACTGTCTCTAGAGGATAAGATCATTCCTGTTGAGAAGTGCTGGGTTAAACCAGCGTATGCTAACTCCACAAATGTTAGCTGCATTAGACAGTTAATCTGAGTTCTATAAAGGTACCAGTAAACTACCTTGGGAATCAATGTCTCTACAACCCTTTCCCTCATTCCAACCCCCACCCTAGAGGGAAAACAATGGGCAGATGACTCAGATTCCAGGCCATCCTGTCTCCCCTCAAGCTTCCAAGGCTGTGGAACTTGGGGCATGCCTCTGAGCCCAAAGACTGGCCCTCAGAAAACTACCCCTCTGGCACTGTCATGGGCCTTTGATTTTTGGATTGCTGCTTTCCTGGTCTTTGGGAGGACACAAAGCAAAAGTAATAGCATGGCAGCAGAGACAATGCCATGGGGCTGTCACATCTCCCAGCTTCCCAGTACTGGTTGGCAAAGGTGCAGTTGCTTCAAACAGACTGACAGATGAGGGAACAACCTGCACATAACACAGATTTTGCCTTTGCCTAGATGTTATTTCATCCATGAGAAACTAGTAGAGCACAGAAAATTGCACCCAGCTGAACCCAGATACACAAAATGCATGTGTGCACACACCGCTGGAACATCTTCGTGCTGCCTCGGGTCACATGCACCTTAGCCACTCCCACCCAGCCTTCCAATTTCAAATCATCCTCCTTCACTCAGGAACTTATGAGCTACAGCCTTCAGCCATCTATTCCACAGCCCACTTCAGGTCTTCTCAAGATGAAGTGACATATTGTATATTCATGTGTTTCTTAACCATTTAACATGTGTAACATGTGTAAAACTACCATTTTTATTAGGTCCCCATCTCCTTCAGTGTATCACTGATGAAGTTTTTGAGTACTGTGTGCCTACCCCCATTTTCCCATAAGTCCTGTGGTCTTCACTGCTCATTTTTACATAGCACTGATTTTGAGGATCATGTGTATCATGGCATAGCAGAACTGGCTGTACCTTCTCCCCTAATCAGAGTGTCATATGGTGGTAGAAAAGCAACACCAAGCCTTTCTCCTCTGGCTCCTCCCCTTTGGACTCAACCTTTAGGCTGAGCCAGGCAGCCTCTTCCACCTTCCTAGGTTGTACTAAGCGCCAAAGCTCCCTGGAAATTTCCTTCTCAATACACTTATCACAACTTGTTGGCATCGCCTGTCAAGGGCTGGTCTATCCCAGGGGACTGTGAGCCCCTTAAGGGCCAAGCTTTGTCTTAATCACCACCTTTTTCTCCCAAGCCTGGCCACAGCACATATTCTGTTCCCGCTTGTCTGGCTACTCACCCACTCCGAGTCACCAGGCACTGGCGGAGCCCCAGCTTCCGGAAGATGTCCACCACTGTCTCCATGGGGGTGTGGTCTGTGACTGTGAAAGGGCTGAGATTCAGGATGCGCCTCAGCTTCAAGGGGTGCGGGCTGTTGGCTGGCAGTTCAGGAGGCTCCTCCGTAAAGTACATGATGGAATTGCTTACAATGCCCTCCTGCCTCTGTCTGGCGTTCTCTAGAATGGGGGTGAGCAGAAACAATGAGCCACACAAAAATCTCTCCCTTACCACCCCAGCACCAGAATCCTACAGAAAAGGGTCCAGTGGGCAAATGTCACATTCTTAATGAGAGGCTCTGGCCGGACATCTGTGAAACTGGCATCTCTCTTAGGCGATTGCTGCGTGAGGGCCCCTGCTATGCCCAGATCAACTGATTGCCAATGTCTTGCAAGATGAGCCCAGCCATCTCTGGGGACATTCACTACTGTCCCCTGGTCTCCAGGGCACCCCAAACACTTCAGGGCACTCCATCCTTGCTTTCCAAACACTCATTCACCTCATCATGAGCTGAAGTTTGTCATGACAAGAAACCCCATTATCTGCCCAGTGACCTTAATACATTGTTTTGTTTGGTTTGGTTTGGTTGGTACCAGGATCAAACTCAGGACCTTGCACTTGCGAGGCAGGCAATGGAACCATCGAGCTAAATCCCCGGCCCCTTTAATGCATTGTTTTTTACAAACAAACTTACAACTGGCCCAAATGGCATTATGAATCCCAAGAGGAACAGGAAGCCAATAACACCAGCCCAGGCTCACAACCCAGAAATGCAGCTCAATCTCAAATATGACCCTTGGGACCAAAGAAACAACCCCAGAAAAGCTGCACTCCCCCTCCCCCGCCCCCACTCCTTGGATCTCTTCTTTTAAAAATGGGCCATGTTGTAGATTTCTCAAAGAAAGATAGTAAAACTGTTATGGTAGCAATTAGTCTATTTCAGTCTGTAGGCAAGGCCATGTGAAGCTAAAGAAAAGTAGGGTAACAGGAACTCATTAGAAATACAGCTTAATGCAGTGCTAGAAACCCAGGCTATTTTTAGTCACACATGAAATAAATCCACTGGTCTCAAGATATTTCTCCAAGGCAATTTTCCTTCTGTTGGAATTTTAATCTTTCTTTTGGTTCGTGGGAAAAGGTTAGGAAAAACGTACAGCAGAGCCTATCTTAAAATGAATCCTGGTTTCTATAATATGTTTCTTGCTTTCTCAAAGACTACTATTCACCTATATTGTTCTTTCAAAAATAAAACTCTAACAGCTTCCTCTAAGGCCATTTGGTGCAATAGAGTACTCTAATGGAAAACTGGCAGCACATGAGGTCAGGCTGAATCTGAAAAGGGGTCTCTTTTGAAAAGAGGAGCAGAGGGCCTGCTGGGCAAATGCCTGCACATTATATGGGTCAGGTGAAATCTAGTTATATCAAACAGGATAGGATTCAACCACAAACACCAGGCAACCCTGATGCACAACGTGTTTTCAAATGCAGGTCCTGCACTCCACATACTGTGCACTTCTCTCCTAAACCAAGATGGTTCTGTCCTTAAGCACTAAGGTAGGGGGGCAACAGTCAACACGTACTGATTTGCTCATTTCCACAGACCAATTGATTCTTGTAAAGGCCCACACAATAGGATTTCCATCTGTTTTGACAATCAGATTGCACATCAGGATTGGATCAAGCCACAAACCCCCAATCAAGAACTGATCACATGGATTTGCTGAACTCCTTATAAAACTAAATACAACTTAGTGAACCATCAACACAGTTGCTAAAATAAACAAGCTTATATTTCCTCTGAATCTACCCACTGAGTTAGAAGCCATGATTCTCACAGCCACTCCTTCTGTGATCTCTTGCTAACTAGTGCAATTCCAGTGCCCAGGCAAAGAAAACAACAGTACAAAACATATATTTGCTGCATGCACACATGGATGCATGAACAAATGGGTCTACCAAATAGCAGTGCATCTTGTTTGGCCTAACCTGTAGAATAAAGCCTGCTTCACAAAGGACACATTAGGAGGGAAAGCCCATGAGCTATTCATTGCCACGTTAAGAATCACAGGCACTGGCTGGAGTCAAAGCTGGAGATCTGAGGTATACTCTTTGCTACTCCACATGGCAATTGCTGCTCTCTTTAGAAGGGTTCTACAAAGTCACTTTGGAACTGTATTATCAAAACTTTTTCTAAGGCTTCGAACTTTGGAGGTAGATGTGCTATGTACAGGCCAAAAGGTGGTGAATGGAAGCAAAACTAGGAAAAGAGCACTTTGCAACTCTGTATTGGAGTAAACCAGCTACTCCCAGTTTGGAGCAGAAATCTCCATTGGTCACCAAAATGTCTGCAACAAAACTCTAACATGTAAGTTCACAGAGGACAGAGACTATGTACTGCCATCCCTGGACTCCAGCTTTTAGGAGAGTACCAGCATATGGTGAGCACTCAGGAAACATTTATTTCCTATATAAAAGGATAAACCAACTCCTCATCCAGGGGATAAACCAGTGCTATCAGAGTCTAGACCAGTGATGGTGAACCCCTTAGAGCTTTCAATAATACGAACAGCCCTCTCTGGCACACATGCCACAGGTTCACTATCACTGGTCTAGACTCATAGACCCCAGGAAATCTTGGGAGCCTGAGTTGGAAAAGAAACCCCAAAAAACTCCCCAAATGCACTTTTTTTTTTGGTACCATGGATCGAACTCAGGACCTTGTGCTTGTAAGGCAGGTGGCGGCACCACTGAGCTAAATCCCTGGCCCCCAAATGCACATTTTTAAGGAGACCTAAAAGAGAAGAGTGTACTAAATATTAGTGAGTGCCTTTAAAAACATTTCTATTTGCTTCTGATTTTTCCAATATTCTCTAAGTGTGTATTACTTTTACTCTAAAAATGTAATAAACTTCATTTTAAATGTTTTAAATTCAAGTAGTTGTTTTTTAAATGTTTTTAATGGAGGGGGCTTATTATATATTCTACCAAAACTAGTGTCAGTGGCCCATCATCCTGTTCATTAAAAATGCTTCCATAAGGCAGTTGTAATTAATGAGAAAGGCTGAAATGGAAAACTGGAAGCAACCACCATAGTGGTCAGTACAAAGATGATACGATAACAAAAAGTAAGGACTATAATGAAGAGAAATCAGATTATTTTACAAGTTATTGTCTACGAAGGCATGGTGAAGTTCTTCTACATAGGTATCTCTACATATTTCAACATCCTCAGCAGAAAGTAGTTGACACCACTATTCTCTACGACCTATTCCAAAAATTAACAGCATTCCCAGGCAGAAACCTCTTTAGCCCTAAATAGTTTATCTGCCAGAACTGACATTTGTTTTCTGGTTCAGTCCTGGATGTAGATCCTTTTCTGCGAGTAAGCATCTTCCACATGCTACAGAATCATTGTTAAGTCATCCATCAGACAAAAAAAAATTTGAGAGTTCCCTTAACTCTTCCCCGTAACTCTAACTTTCCATCCCTTTAATCATCTTTGTGGCTTCCCACCGAGTCCTCTCTGAACCCTTATGCACTTAATTGCAGAATTCAAGACTAGAAGAGGCTGAGCCCTGCTGAGTACAGGAAGCGCCTCATATTCCCAAAGACAATGAGAGGTAAAGGCCCATTTACCGGGAATTTGAACAAGGGTCATCTACAGCCTCACCTATTAATAATGTGAAGAGGGTCACCTTGCTCAGGTGGTGCTAACTTGCTTTCTAACAAAAACAATGGCTGTGCTTCGGCCTCCTAGAGATAGATTGAACATAACTAAATATTTTCAACTCCATGTCAGCAGCTGCTACAATTTTAAATGAGACATGTAAGAAAAACCTTCATTTTCCTCATTTACCATTCTTTTTTATTGTAATTATAACTATCCTATGATAATCTTGGCTCCCAATCCTCAAAAAGTGAAAGTGGTATGGGACACTTTTAGCTAAATGCTAATGTCATATTTCTACATTCATCACCTGACTCCTCAAATACAGGTCACAAATTTCTCCGCAAGAATACAGTGACTCCTCTCTTTTCACAGATCAGGAAAACAGCTTTTCTCATTCCTTGGAGCGAAACACCCCTTGCCTTTCCACACTATTATCGGCCTGACTGAAAGCACAGAGGTATTATTTACACTGTGTGGTACCTCTTCAGACATTCCAAACATAGCTCTGAGAGAGTGCTCGCTCACAAAGCTTCAATTTCTTCCCTAACCGGTTGATGCCAATTACTGCTTCCCACTTGATTACAGTAATGGATTTCAGCAAAATTAGCAAGCTGCTTCTCAGCAGGTGTGCCTAGAGCTACACAATAGGTAATGAATTCTGTGACATTTATTTTTTTGAGTTTCTAAATTTCAACCTCTGCTTAAAAGATTTTAGGGATTGAATAAAATTTAAAAGGCTGCTGATTACATTATTTTAAAACAAACCCAACCCTACTTAAACAACTTTTTGAAAGCCTCTTTATTTGTAAGGCAATATTTACTTCTGAAGGCAGCTACCTGTTTCGAGACAGGACCTACAGTAAAAACAAGCATCACCGAGCACTTAAGCACAAGCTTGCTATGAGTCCAAAATGAAAAATCAGTCTTTGCTTCGGGAGGCCTAAGCATGCTTGAGCAACACACTAAAGTTAGGAGGTATAAGTTATCTAAACTGATTTTTATAAAGCCTTTGAGGAAGATTCTATAGAGAAATTTTTAAAGCTATTTATCTTGGGAGGGAAGCGCCTTGGAAATAGGAACAAAGGGCAGGGAGGAGGAAACAGTTCTCTGGTGAAGACGTGGTCACAGTGGGGCACTCAGTAGCCACACCCAGGAAAGAAATGCCCACTGACGCACAGCAAGAACACTGTGGAAGGTGGAATGGACAGTGACACGGTCACATGGACACGTGAGCCATGCCACCGGCCCCAGTCACCCATGGGGTGCAGGGATGCTATGCAGATTACAAAGCAATGACACTCAGCCAGTGGACATGGCATCTACCGTGTGTGGGAGGATGGGCTACACTGGTCCTTGCCCCAGCTGAACCCTGAAATCCCCAGGCTCCAACCCTCTAGGTTCTCTGTTCCTATTTCTGAGCATATGGTCTCTAAATTCTCCTCATGAGTCTCACCCAGGCCTCTCTCACTCTGTCTTTGCAATCCTTCTACTTCCTACTTCCCTTCTTAAGGAGCCAGCATGCTAGCTTCTCTGGGCTGTCTACGGAACACCCCACTTGGGCATCATTTCTCTCTCTCCTACCCCAACTCAACAGTCTGCCCCACCCCCAGGGTAGCTGATTTGGGTTCAAATATAAGGAGAAAATAATCATACAAAACTTACGTCTAGCAATGATGTTCATTAACCCACATGGGCCTCTAGCTGGTGGAATGGGACATAATTCATTTAATGCAGCAAAAACTCGTGTGGTGGCTAGCAAAGTATGGGGGAGAGACCTCACCACCCAAGTGAGGTTAACGTTAACCTGCCTGAAAGCAAAGCTCCGAGACCAGCTTGGCATGGGCCACTCTGGAATCTCACACCATCCCTGCTTCCATCCCTTCCCTGCTTCCACCAATAATCCCCAAAGCACAGCAGTAGTCGCAGCAGCAGCTTGCCTCCTAGTCTGCACACATAGCAGTCACTTTCCATCCAGGAACGTCTATCCCAGGACATGGGCTGAAACTCTGGGGACTGGCAGCATTGGCATGAATGATGAAAGCAGAGACTCGGCCCACCTAGGCCTGCTGAATCAAATCTGCATTTTAACCAGGTCCCAGGTGATAGATCTGCCCTGAAGCTTGAGAGCTCTTGCCTTACTAAACATTCGCTTGAACCTCTTTGATAATTCTAGGGGCACAAAGGCTGCTTAGCAAAATGTGAACCCCTCTCTCCTTACTTATTGCGAGGATCAGCTCTCTCCTCTGAGCGAACCCAATGAGGCGCTCAGAGTCTCTGGAGACCACCACGGGGAAGCCATTGTAGTCTGTCTCCTTGATGAGCGTCTCCACATCCTCAACGGTCATGCTGTCCTGGGTGAGCACGGATAGCGGAGGCTCTCCTCTCCGGGGCCGCATCACGTCGGTGGCCAGGGTGCGGTGGGTGAACTCATCCTTCACATCGAGAAATGGGTACCCATTCAGGTGGATGTGGGCCTCGTAGATGCCCTCTTTCCCGAAGGCATCTGCCACCCACTTGCTGGTCACGGCCGCCGCCATCAGGGGCACAATGTACTCCAGACCACCCGTTAATTCAAACATGATGACCACCAGTGATACCGTCATCCTGGTAACTCCACCTACAACGGAAGAGAGAGGTAAGATTCTGAAGCCTAACCTGAACCCACATGAAGGTACAATTTGTGAAAACTGAGAAGCTCACAGACTGCAAATGCAGCTCAACCCAAGCTCTAAGTTCTCCTCATAATTGCTCCAAGGAGAGGTTCCTATGAGACGCTGCCCATGCTGGAGTCCCAGCCATAGACGCCAGGCTCTATTAAACTCAGCCTTGCATGGGGGAGCTGTAAGTCATCTGGCTGGGGGCTCTTGTCCAATGAGGGTCCCTGGGTAATGGATTAACCCAGGCCAAATGCCTGACTTTTCTGTGAGTGAATCCTACATAGCCTATACAAGCTTCTGCCTGAGAAAGCAACCCATAAATTGGAAAACTATAGAGATTTTCAGGGATTAGATTGGAGAGGGACACATCTTTGGATTCCTTAGTATTCAAAGAGAGAATCCAAATGGATTCCTAATCTAATAAGCCTAAACCAGGGTTTCTTAACTTTAGTACTGGGGACATTTGGGACTGGATCGCTTTGTTGTCAGGACTTTCCTGTATACTACAGCAAGTTTAGCAGGACCCCTGGCCCCTACCCACTACACACAAGTGGAATGACCAAAAGTGTCCCTCCAGACTTTTCCAGGTGTTCCAAGGATCCAAAATCATTCCTGATTGAGAATGAGTGTTCCAGGTATACAGCTGTGAGATGCTGGAGATTCCATCAGACTGGGCCTCTGAATGGCTGGGTGGAAAAAGTCTTCCACTAAATCATGGTGTATGTATTGTATTGTACTGTATTGTATTGTATTGTATTGTATTGTGTTGTATTGTATTGTATCCATATAGTGAACAGGATATAAGCTTGCTACGTGTTCAGCCATTGAGATGGCAGAGTACTTGTTGCAACAGCACAACCAGCTTATCCTGAGTAATGCCAATGAGAAAATCCATGCCTTCTTTCCAGTCCTAAGCCAGATCAGCACCCCACCTCCTCCACCTCGCCCCCCCACCTGTGGACATACCTAGGCAAGCTGCAGCTCCCACCATTGCGTAAAGTCCTGGGGTGACGCAGTCTGCCCCAGGTCTGCACCAGTTCCTGAAGATGATCCAGTCGTGGTGATGGTAAGCCAGCTGCTCCACACCAATCCCCACCATCCTGCCAGCCATGGCTCCCACAGCCATGCTGGGGATGAAGAGCCCTGAGGGGATCTCAAGGGAACACAGAGAGAAAAGCAGCCTGAGGGAAGGAGGCCAAGTTCTGACTTCCCAACCCCCAGGAAACAAGGTCCCCTTCCACAAGCTTGCATTTGACTGCAGCCTTCAAAAGAGGTGCAACGCTTCAAAACAGGTCAGCTAGGAAAAGGTGGACAAGCGATTTGACCTGCTTAGTCAGTGGAGTCTACTGTGACTTGGACAGAATGTAATTTGACACTTTCATTTCCTCTCCTTCAAAAGCTGGCCAGTGTGCCTGCTGTGGATTAAAGAATGATAAGCCCCACTGCAAAGCATTCGAAGTGCACATCTGTCACCAGAGCCTCTCACCACCTTCTTGCTCCCCTTGCTGTGTCATTCAGATTGGCTTTGAAAATTAAAGTCAAGCACAGCATGAAAATGGAAAGAAGGGCCTGCTACTGCTCCCAGGTAAAAAGAAAATAAAAGCTGAATGCAACATTGCAGCTTCCCTGGATCTTCCAGAGAGCCTTTCAAGGGCTCACTGTCCTCTTTAAAGGATGGTGGCTGTCAGAAAGAAATGAAGGAAAGTTCCCTCTTCCTAACGAAGTCCATATTCTGATATTTCCAGCCAGGTTACTTAACCTGAGATGTTGGCAGTAGCATGTTTTCCATTGAGCTGAGTGGGGATACTGTACACTTTGTTTCTCCGATGGCCATACAGAACACATCTGCTACAAAGCAGGCTGCAGAACACGCCGGGCTCCCGTGTTCATGGAGATTCCACGTGACTGCGGATCCTGAGCAGCAGCTGCCTTCCTGTCTGCCCCCCGCGGATATCAATCTGAGCACATAAGCAGATCTTTAACCTAACCCATGTTAAGTTTCGATCCCCATGTGCAATTTCTAGTTTGAAAAAATCCTTGGCAATTTGATCCTTTCTGAACATCCCCTTATTCCACAGTTATTGAAAGTCATTGAATCTCCTGTCACTTCCAAGTAGACTTTTCTCAAAAAGTAACAAAGGATGCTGCTACCATAGCATCTTCCTTGGACACAAAATCAAATAATTTTGCTAGGAGCTGATGGATCCAAGCCAGTCAGCTGTTGGACCAAGTTCACCTATCCTTGTTCTTAAGACACAAATTCTAGTTTGTATTTAACTACTATGTGCTCAAGCCCGCCATTTCTTAGACTTTTTAAAAAGAGAGAATTCAGGCCAAGGTGGTGGTGCATGCCTGTCATGCCAGCACTCTGGGAGGCTGAGGCAGGAGGATCACAATTTCAAGTCCAGTCCGGGCAACTTAGCAAGACCTTGTCTCATAATTAAAAATAAAGGGCTGGGGATATAGCTCAGTGTGAAAGTCCTGAGTTTAATCCCCAGCAGGAGAGGGGGGATGAACTGATAGAAATATCACAAAGAAAGCAGTACTTATGGGACAGAAAATGGGCCTCTGGCAAGTGCACCATGTTCTGCTTCTGGTCCTGGGTGTTGGTTATACGAGCAGGTGTGTTTTGTGAAAATTCATCTGTCCACATCTCTATCTAAATAATATATTTTAATATTTTTTTTCTAAAAATATAAGCAATATAGAAACAACCCAAATGTCCACCAAAAGATGAGTAGAAAAAAAAAAGTAGAATAGCCATAGAATCGCATACTATCCACCCAAGCAAAGAAATGAAACACTGCTACCACATGGATGAACCTTGAAAATGCCATGCTCCGTGAAAGAAGCACAAGACAAAAGCAAATATTCCATCCCATTTATATGACATGTCCACAACAGGTAAATCCATAGAGACACACAGCAGGTGAGAAGCTGCCAGCAGCTGGGAAGAGAGGAGAAAGAGGAGCACCTACTAATGCAGATGGGGTCTCCTCCGGGGGGGAGTGAAGATGTTCTGAAAGCAGACAGAGATGTCAGATGCACCACATCGTGAATGTACTTAATGCCGATGAAGTGTACACCTTCAAGTGATCAATTTAATGTTGTGTCAATTTTAACTCAATTTTTAAAAATATGAAAAGCAGTAATAATTCAATGTCAGAGCCCATAAAAGAAAGCTCCTTGGGAAGAAAGCTTTTGAAGTATATCTGAACTGATTTAGCAGAGCATGTTTAAAAAGAACAAAAGAAGCTGTCTTCTCTGATTTTAGTAATGATAATGGAAGCACATGATTCTATCATGCACAATTTGAGAGGACCCTGGCCATCCAGAGACAGTGCGCAGGGCTTGGGGTGTACCTGAGTTGTAGAATGCTGGCCCAGCATGCACAAGCCCTGGATTCAATACAGACAGGGGTGATGAGGAGAAAGTAAGTGTGAGGATGTGTGGAAAGTCCCCTGCCATGGTCCCAGTCTTACCCAGGCCAGGGACATGCTCACGTTATGCTCTCATGGCATTGCACGGTGCACGAGGTGGTCACCACACAGTCTCCAAACATCACATTTACCTGCATCTCTCCCGGAGCTGTGGGTTCTTCGGGAGTAGCAGTCTATGTTAAGTTTGAGTCCCTTGAACTTAGTACCAGGATATGGTGGATGCGGAAGGCATGTTTACTGATTCAAACAGGGCCAAGCCTGGGCTTCTTCTATCACCTACACTCATCCAGCCAGCAGGTAAATCTGTGCTTACTGCCTTGTCTGAGAAGGCTTGAAGTGAGTTTGATACCTAGCTCTGCCTCCCATAAACTGCGGGTCTGACCAAGCCACATATAGCCTCTGAGCCTTAGCTTCCTTAATTGTAAAATAGGATTAAAATCTCTACTCCATAGACTTGTGTTTATTAAGAGATTTGTTTCCTGTTGATTAAAAGAATGTCAAGGACATAGATCATTAAAGAAAGGTCAGTTCTCCTCCTCACATCATAATTTTATTTTGGAGAATAGGGTGCTGTCCTCAGAAAGACATGTCCCCCCGCCCATCTTCCTTCCCCTTCACTTACCTTCATGCCAAAGGTAAATATGGTAATGACGATTTTGAAGATCAGGGCCAGAGCCAGCTGCCACATGGCTGTGTAAACCCCAACCCCAGCGGGCCGGTCTGGAATGTCATCCACAGGCCGGGTCATATTGGGGTCGTTGATGTAGTCACAGAGCTGGGAAGACTCAAGGGCCCCACAGTCATTGAACAGCTCAGAAATGAGCTCACTGGTGCTCTGGCGTGTGTACGGGTTGGGGTAGGCAATGATGGCGGTGATGGTGGTCACCACAATGACCTCCAACACTGGGTACTTCCCCAGCCTGGTGGTTTTGCGCCTCCTGCACCAGGCGATGTTGCAGCGAGTGAAGAGGGTTCCCCACAAGCCTCCAAAAACCCCAAGCAGGATGAAGGGAAAGAGTTCAGCCATGTACCAGGGAGTGTGATATTCCACATAAAAGAGAACCAGGCGGCTGTTCCCAAAGGGGTTGATGGATCGCAGTGTGAAGGCTGCCACCAGGGCTGCAAAAAATGACCTCCACAAGGTCTTCAAGGGAAAGTAGTAACTGACCTGAGACAAAGAAGTAGAAAATCAGAGGCTGGCCGAAGAGCAGCTCAGAGCCCCTCCCCACTCTGGGTCAAGAGTCGCCTGCGGTACTTGGCTGGAAAGACCAGGCTAAGAGCAAAGGTGGGACACACTCACTTCACCTAGGGTTCATTGTCCAAAATGCACCAACAAAGACATTTAGAGGAATCTATGCCAAAAAGTGTCATGGAGTCTAATAAAGGTGGGTTTGCGCTATATTTTTGGGGTTAATAAAGAGCTGGGAGGGCCAGGGATTTAGCTCAGTGGTTTTGCCGCCTGCTGCACAATTGCAAGGACCCAAGTTCGATCCCTGGTACCAAAAAAATAAAAAATTTTAAAAAATAAAGAGCTGGGAGTGTGGCTCAGTGGTAGAGCACGTGCTTAACATGTTCTTCCATCCCCATTAACCCCTCAAAAGAAAGAGAGAGTTAAATAAAAATATGTATTTGTAATATGTTACTGGCACAAAGGCCCTCCTAAAAGCAAATAAACTTTGGATCTGATTCTATAAAAACCAGAATGGATCAAGGGTTGGAAAACTCTGGCCCACAAGTCAACTCTGGCCAGAGAATATACTACTTGTATGGCACATGAATTAAGAATGGTTTTTGAATTTTAAGAAACAACTTGTGATATGAAATATTCATTCAAAAGAAGAACGATTTTCATTACATGTGAGAATTGTATAAAATCCAAATTTTGGTGTCCGTAAGGAAAGTTTGCGGGGCACACAGCCATGCCTATTTGTGGACACATCAGCTGGTTGCTTTTCTGTTAATGATGGCGCAGTTGGTTGGCTATAGTAGAAATTGTGTGGCCCACAAAACCCTTTGCAGAAAACATTTGCCAGCCTCTGGGATGATCCATTCAGGTTCCAAAACCAAGCTGGAATCTACGTTGGTTATGAGGCAGAGCAGATACTATAAATCTTCCCACAAAATTATACTGGCAACTTTAAAAACAGTATTTGAAAATATATTTAACAGTGGAAATTGTGGATCCCTTTTTCAATGCTTCTATGAATCTAATCTTCAGAGGGTAGGAAATAAAGGCCCCCTGCTCTACCAACTATCCACATATCCCTTACTGCCCCTTCTCACCTCCTCCAGGCTGAACAGCACACCCCCAATGGGAGCACCAAAGGCCACAGAGACCCCAGCAGCAGCTGCAGCCGAAAGCACCTATAAGGTAAACAGTTGTAAGTAGGCTCCAGGGCCTTCCCTGGAAGCAAACTCAGGCAGGCATCAGGGGCAGGGGTCTGGGGAGAAGCCTCCCCTGCAGGTAGAAGCTGAGCCAGCTCACCTCACGCCTCTTTCCCTCATTCTTGCTGTACTTGGAGAAAAGGCTGCTGAAGAAGTTGCCACAGCAACAAGCCACATGCACCAGAGGTCCTTCTTTCCCAAGGCTCAGGCCAGAGGATACAACCAGCACCAGGGTGACTGTCTTAATCAGCAGGGTCCACTTCCCTAAGTAGCCCCTGATGATAAAGCCGCTCAAAATGGTCTTTATCTGAAAGAGGATGGAGAGTGAGGGGAGTGAAGTTCTCCAGTCTATGCTTAGGAAAAGAGTTGTAGTACCTCTGAGCTAGAATCCCTAAATCACAAAGAAAGGAGACGATCTCAGTTTTTTATAGACTGGTCTATAATTTTATAGAATATCAACAGATATATTCCAAGGCTGTAGCTGATGCCTGAAAACTCAGTACTGAACCTAATATATATTTTGCTTTCTCCTACGCATACATACTTATGATAAAGTTTAATTTAGGAAGTAGGCATAGTAAGAAGTCAACATTAACTAATAATAAAGTAGAACAATTATAACCATCAGAACACATTTTCTGTTCACGTCTTCCGCCCATAAATTTAATGCTTTTTCTATTGCAACTAAACAATTATCACACATTGTAGCCATAATATTTGCAGTTTGTGGTATGGCAGCAAAACGAACATGAAACACTTTTTCCTTTTTCACAATTTCACAAAGAGAAGATTTATTCTTACAATAGATCTTAGCAGCCTCAGCATACAGTGGTTTTTCTTTCCACAAATTGACAACTTTCACCTTTTCAATAGGAAGCACTTTACAGCTTCTTGTTGGCATAGGCTAATTGCTGGCATCACTACTCTTGTGCTTTGGGAAGCCATTATTGAGTAAAATAAGAATGACTTGAACACAAGCAGTACAATGTTGTGACAGTCCATGTGATAACCAAGATAGCCATTAAGTGTTAAGTGACTGGGTACCATATACTTGGTGGATACACTGGATAGAGGGATGATTCATGTCCCAGGCAGAACAGACCAGGATGATAAAAGACTTGATCACACTGCTCAGGACAGTGTGCAATTTTTATTGTTCAAATCTTTCAGCTTTCCTATCTGTTTTAAGGTATTCTTAATACGATGTTAGAAAATGAAGATGTTCAATATTCTGGTAACACACCTTTAGGAGATGTAAAAATGACTGAAAGAATGAGGACCCCTTCTCTTCCATCCACTCCTACCCTCTTTTATTGGAAAGGACTTTGCAGAGAGAACTGTCTTGCTCCATTTTCAGACATGCTTCATTTTGTAAGTGCCAAGTAGCGACTTTCTTCCTATAGTTGCACTTGAGTCTTTGCTTAATGCATTTAGAACTGAACTGGATGTCAATCTCAGCAATTAACTTTGTATACTGAAGTCCACTGTCCTAAATGACATTCTTTTAGACATAGAAGCATCACCAATGGCTAAATAACTTTTCTACCTCTAGCCTCTTCCCAAACAGGCTAAAAGTGCAATGAATGTTTACTGCTGAGTCAGCTACTTACAAGCTCCTAATCATAGATTAATTAGATACTGAGCCAGACAATTAAATTCCTAGTCAATTTCTGGTTTCTCATTGTGTAATACATAATAGGACAATGCTATCTCTTATCAGTGTCATTTACATAACTTCAAAATGCTTCCTTGTGGCCCCTGCTCTGCCAAGTAAGCAATTTCTCAAATAGCTATTACAATCCTCGGCGCTCATCAGAATCACCTGGTGAATTCAAAAGTATTGAGGGAAAACTGGCTCTCTGCACACAAATGTGATGTAATTGGTCTGAGGTGCATCTAAGGTGCAGGGAGTTTCACAGCATCCCCAGATGACTTTAAAATGCTCTACTCCTGAAAAGATCAGTACAGACATTCCCAATTTCTCCATATTCAAAGGACAGCCCTGAAGCAAACTAAGCCTCAAATTCTAAAAGGCTATGGACATGACCATTTTTGTCTCAGGAATTACTGACAGAGGTCTGTTTTTAATTCAAGGAGAAAGAGTAGGAGAAGATGAAGGAAAGGGAGAGAAAAAGAACACACACAAGCAAGTGTGCTCGTGTGTTTTCCCAACAAACTCCTTGAGCTCCTTCCTACAGAATGTATAGGAGGTCTCCTAGCTATGGGCACATAGTATTTCCTAAGCTAGCCATTAATTCATGTCAGACGAACTAGCAGTGGTTAAACGAGTCTTTAACTAGTGGTAGTTGGCCTAATTGAGCTTGTGCTCTGGGGATCTCAGATCCCTTTATTTAAAGGCTGCTTTATTAACCTTGCCACTATCCTGCCCTTTTGTGTTGCCCTGAATAAAATTATCTATAATTTTTCATCAGTTAGTTAATATGGATTTGGACCCCAGGGTACAGTTTAAAAGCGTAATACCATTTACAAAATTACAAGCATCTAAATTACCTGAGCCTTTGCCAGCCATGACATGTGGTGAACTGAACAATGTAATAGGTATTTTGTAATTCTCTAAAATGATTTTATAAAATTGTCATGATCAAATTAGGAACTAAAGAAGGCAAATTCATTCCCAGTAGATGCCAAAATCCAATCATTTGCTCTCATTTGAATTCATAGAGACTGAAGCAGAGCCTTAACAAGATATATTAAAGCAGATCTGCAGCTCAGTGGTGTTACCCTTAAAACCAGAACTCCTTTTGTTTGATAAATATTTGTCCAAGGGCTCATGTCTTGTAAGGAACAGAAACATCACCTGACACCATGATTTCTTATATAACTGATAGTGTTTACTGATGAAGCAACAGAATTAGGGGAACAACCTTACTGAGTTCTCTCTAAATTCCACAGTCCAAGAAACCATTAGTCTTCACTTTGGAACGTGCTTTAGAGAAATTACATGGTCATTACTTACACAGAAAAAAAAATTACCTAAATTTACATTTTTAAAATGTTTCCAAAGGAATTTTCATTCTAAGTAATCAAAATGTTTCGGAAGGAAATGCCTGGGGGGATGAGCAACTTTAAAAATGTACCTTGGGCTGAGGGTGTAACTCATTGGTACAGTGTTTAGTGGTTGAGAACTGCAGCCTTAGTGAAGGATTTCCTACTCTGCTATATAATAATGGGAAAAACTTGGCTACTGCTGAGTCATAATAACCAAATTTAATTATAAAACCTCCATTGGCGGCGCCTGCCTCACAAGCTCCAAGGTCCCGAGTTCGATCCCCGGTACCAAAATAAATAAATACATACATAAATAAATAAATAAAACCTCCATTGGTTCCTGATCTTTAGAAGATTATAATGAATGTTTTTATAGAGAAAAGAATCTATTACATATTTATATGGTTAAAAGAATGTTGATAAACACAAGCACCCATGTACCCACTACCAAGTTCAAGAAATAGAAGAGCAGATACCTTTGAAAACCCTCTTTGCCTCCCCAGTGGAACCTTCTCCTTCCCTTCATCACTTCCAATCATCTCTTTGCCTTTCTTGATCATTTTAGCAAAATATGTTGTCAGTTTGATCCTTTGTGTATGATTATACCCAGAATCATACTTTGCATGTTCTTCTGCAGCCTAATTTCTCCACATGACATCACAGTTTTTGAGTTTGAGTTTCACCCATGCCAGTGTTCCTTATGCTTTTCTCACATAATGAACTTAAATCCTCAACTCAGTATTTTACTTCCTTTGAGTTCAGCTGTCACCAGTAAAGATTGGAGAAGAAATGTCCAAGCAGCCCCTCAAAGACAGAGCTCCGTTTAAGCTCCCTGTCTGGCTGTAACTGAGCCACATACCTCTGGTTCTTGGAAGGGGAAGTAGGGACTGCCCATCATCCTTTTTGTTGCTGCTTTAGGTTTTTCACCAATTTTCTACTGCCCATCTTCTTCTTTTGGAAAGGCTTGAGTCAAAAATACCTACTGATGGGCAGTCGGGTCATAAGCTGGGATGCCAATGATGATCTATCCTTTTTTATTGTTCAGAGTGCATTGGGCTTTGGATATCAAATAAAATAGTCAGCTCTGCTGTAACACTTGCTTTGAAAATGCAAATTGGTCCCAGTGCTATTCATATATTAGGGAGGAATTTGAGCATAATGTAAATTTTATGTCTGTTTATGTAGTTTCCTGTAGAAGAAATACAAGGTAAATGCAGAAAACTGCACCAAGTAGAACCGGGCCATGTAGGAGAACACAAATGGCACATATATACATATCTCAAACATGTATTGGCTCCTGCATGTGCTGGGAATGCCGTTTGTTCACAACTAATGATCTGCCTTCACAGTAACTCACGAGCTGCAGCCCTTCTGACACCCACTTCCACAAGCAAACAGCAAGTTTTTCTCAAGTGACATATTTATTGTAGTACTATATTTACATGTGTCTTGGCAATTTAAGATATGTACAACTGTGCTACTGTGTTTAATAGGATATATATATACACACATCCCTGAGGAAGTTCTGGGGGGGGGGGGAGCGGCTGTTTGTCTGGTTGGTTGGTTTTTTTGGTTTTTTGAGACAAGATCTTGCTATATAGTTCAGGCTGTCCTTGAACTCACTATGTAGCTCAGGCTGGCCTGGAACTCATGGCAATCCTCCTGCCTCAGCCTTCCAAGTGCTGGGATTACAGGCTCGCAGCACCATGCCCAGCTTCACTGAGGAAGTTTTTGAGCATTGGATCCCCTAGTCCATTTTGCCCACTAGGCCTGTAGGTCTTATTGTGCCATTTTGCAAAGCATGGTGATTTTTCAGAGTGCACATGTCCCATGATAGCAAAACTGGCTCTCCTTAGGAAATAGGGTGGTGATTCAGCTTGTTTTGGGGTTTCCTGAAACAGTATGCTAAAATAAACCATCAAAGATTCAGCATGATATAATAAGGCGTTTTTGTTTCTATTTTTCCTGAAACAAGACCAAGTTGAATATTTCCTGTGTTCATCTTTTAATTATTCCAGCCCTTTCTGTGCATTGCCTGGACCAGTGTCGTTGTTGGAAAGCACCAAACAGGATGTCAATCTATTGCCATAATCAACCTGTAACTCTGTCTTCAAACTCACTTTCTTCACTGTCTATGAGAACTGCTGAAGCACTGACCCGAAGGACAGCTAAACTCCACTGAGTAAAATGGAAACACAAAAACTTTTATCGTGACTTCTGGCTAAAATTTGTGTTGTCTGGGCCTTTTCAAGCATCAGCTCGATTATCATTATTGTGCCCACAGGTTCTCCCAGGTTGAAATTCAGTCTCAGGCATCTCTCTTGATTGATGAGATCACTCCCCTCAGATGCTGGTTACATGAAAGTGCTGACACATTTTTGACTTTGTTCACATCACATCATAGATGCACTTATGAGTTATTGCAGTGCCACATTTATGTGGGTGGTTAATGAACTCTGATTCCACAGGCTTTAAGAGTTAAGCCTGGTTTCCAAAGACAGAGTTTAATCATCTGAGAAGCAACAGAGCAAAAACCTTGAATACAGCATACTAATCCTGAAGTCAGACTGCTGGGTTCAACTTGAAGCTTACCAGTTTGGTGATCTTGGGCAAGTTACTTAACATGTCTGTGCTTTAGTTTCCTCGACTATTAAATGAAGGCTAATAGCGGCCTACCTCATAGGCTCATTGTGGGGATTAAATTAATTAACAGGTGCTAAATGCTTGAAACTGGGCTTGGCACAACAATGCTACAGAAGTATTTGCTATTCTTATTATTGGTACAAAAGAAATTCAGCCACAACTCACCTCGGGTATACCAGAGCCACAGGCATATGGTGCAAATACGCGCACCAGTGAGACGGCCAAAAACGCAAACAGCAATGCCCACAGGATGTACATTAAGTAATTCAGAATGTAAGCGCTGGCACCCTAAACAATAAACACAAAATAAGGAAGAAAACATGAGCCACAGCAGACTCAAACAAGATACCCAACCCCACCCCTCCACCAGAAGAGTGAAGCTTTGATGGGATTGAGCAGGTTTGTCCCTGCCCTGCACAAACAAAAAGGCCAGTGTGGATTTTATCAGCTCTCGCTATTGCTACAGTCACTACACACAAACAGCACTGGGTCCTCCACCAGGAGCTGTTTACACAGACCTTCTACCAGGTGAATCTTAGCAGTAATGAAAACCCTGAACGATGCCGGGGTATAATCGCCACTTGCACTAGAGTTAATAAAAGGCGTGACGCAGAAAACTCTGCCCCCAAGACTGGAAGACTTGTTTTGTCTTGTCTGCGGTGGGTTGGTCTCCCTTAGCTTTCATTACGGCCACACCCATGCCACAGCAAGCAAGCTCACAACCAACAAAGCAACATCACAACTGTGTTTCAGAGCCCAGCTCCCCAGGTGCGGTCTGTGGTGCGGTCTCCTCAGCAGCATAGCATCACCTGTGAAACACAGACACCGTCAGCCCCACCCCAGACCTGCTGAGTCAGACACTGCAGGCCGAGGCACAGCTCAGTGTTTCTGCAGGCCCTCCAGGAGAGTCTGACACATACTACTATCTGAGAGGCACTATTAGAGGTGCTATTAGAGGCTTGATCGTCTCCTTCTGCGTAATTCACGGAGCCACTTACTCCACATGGTCTGATCTGTGGAGGACGTTTTTTCTGAACCAAACACACAGTCTGGGGTCTTCCAGGTCAAGGACTGATCTGCTGAGTGAGGACCTCATTTCTCTAGGCCTCAGCTTCTTACAGCCATCTGGATTACTCAAGGAGGGGAGGGGAGATCACCTACAAGCCAGTCCATGGCTGAGCCGCATGTGTGCCTATTAAATGCAAAAACACATTCTTGGAGAGGCTGCTGCAAACATATATATTTACACCCTATGTGGTGAGATGTTGGACTGAGGAATACCTTCCACCCAATTAAACATGTACTTTTTCGGAGGCTAAAAATAAGTTCTCACTCTTGTGAACAGTAATTCTTCGAATCAAAGTATAAATCTTAAAACTAGTTGAAAAATTAGATGACCATATCCCCCCCCCGCAAAAAACCCCACATATTCCAAGTAGGAGAGAAGAAATAAAATGTGGCACCCAGCCAATTTAGCCTGCCCATTTCCATCAGCCCAAGTAGAGAAATTCTTTTTGGAAGTAATGGAGAGCACTGAGAACATGTGAGATTTCAAGATCCCTGTCTACTTCTGGGATATGAAGGAACACATTTTCAATTCCACTGAGAAAGAGGTTTAGCAAAATGGTGAGATGCATTCCAAATGTCTTCAGCTGTAGTACGTCAGTCAGAAAAAAAATGTAGGGGAGGAAAGTTATATAAATAGATTACAGAGATCCTCCAAGCATAGTTCTAGCAAGGACAGTCCTCCCATTGCCCTTAATGTGAAGCCTGATCACCTGGCTTCCCTCTCCTGGTTTTCTGATGCATCCATGACCTGAGCCATTGGGTAAGCACTAAATTCAGATAGAAGTTAACCCTTTCCTGAGCTAAGATTTGTATAAAGATGTGAGGCTCTGATTGCCATGAAGGATCCACTGGATCTATAGGTCACCACTATATTCCCTGTATAGGAGACATTGTCTTCATAGGAGGCCTAGGAACATCTTCTCTAATGTGATCAGAAAATGCAATGGGAGATGGTGACGGCAACCAGTGAGATGCCACTTCACACTCACTAGCACAGCTATAATCAAAAACAGATACTAATGAGGGTTGGCAAGAAGAAGAACAAATTTGAACCTTCATACACTGCTGGTGGGAACGTAAAATGGTGCGCCTGCTTTGGAAAACATTTTGGCAGCTCCTCAAAGGTTAAACACAGAGTTCCCACTTGACCCCACAGTTCCATTTATACCCAAGAGAAACAAAGCATAGTCCCACAAAAAAGCTTGTAAATAAATGTCCATAGCAACATGAATCACAACAGTCAAAAAGTGGAGGCAACTCACATTCATCAGCTGATGGACAGGTAAATAAAATGTGGCCTATCCACAGAATGGAAGGTTAGCCAGCCATGAAAAGGAAGGGGGTACTGATTCATGCTACGTACAACATGAAGAAACTGGAAATACGCCAAGGGACCCAAAGTCCACATGTTGCATGATTGCATTTATGCAAAATATCCAGAAGAGGCAAATCTATACAGACAAAGCAGATAAATGCAGCCTGGGGCTGGCAGGTTGGGGGAACATGGGAGTGACTGCTAATGGGTGCGGCGTTTTTTCAGGGGGAGGGGATGAAAGTGTTCTAAAATTAGATTGTGGTGACAGTTACACAACTCTGTAAATGTACTAAAAACCACTGAATTATACACGTTCATTGAAGGACCATATAAATAACATATTTCTCTTTAATTCGAAGGTATAGAAACAACTCTGTTTCTTCAGCATGATTGAGAAACCACCTTTAGTAAGAAGAAACCAAACACAAGGCTTATGACAATACTGAATGCATGTGGAGCACATGAAACAGCACGGAAGGCCTCTCCAAGTGAAGTGTGAGTAGCAGCATCAGAGCTGCAGCAAACAAGACACACTAGCATTAAGCCCGGGAATACTCCTGGAGGCAACAGCACGGTGCTCCAGCAGGGGGCCCCAGCCAGGACCCCATGCAGACACCCACCTCTGACTGATTCACCAGCAGTTCTGACCACTTCTGCCACAGAGGACACTTGTCCCTGTCCTCAAAAGTGGTTTCATTGGAGGTCCAGCAGCACTGCTCGTGGCTGTACCAGAAGGCAGACAGGCAGACACCCTCCTTCAGATCAGTCATCCAGTCGACAGCAAGATCTATGACACCAGCCAAGGTGCCTAAAAGAAAAATTGAAGCCCTCAGATGAATGCCGTATGCAGAGAATGAATCCACAGCACAAGGTGCCATAGGTACCCAGCAGCTACCAGGGCTTACAAGCATGCCAGGGGGCTGCAGCCAACATGGGAAGTTTCTTTCATTCACTCGCAAGTCATCTGAACATTTATGGTGTGGGCAAGGCAGTGTCCAGCTCGATGGGAGAAAGAAGGGTTCAATGGCTTAAATCGGATAAGGGAAACATAAGCATGACACTCTTCTCTCAAGCCACTGGGGCTGAGGGACTTTGGTCATTCATCCCTTTCCAGATGTTTAAAATAGGAATATCCACCGGGAAGGACAGAACCCCTTGTGGCTGCTGAAGCAGGACCCCGAGGTCATGATGGCGTGGACAAAATGGAGGCACAGCAACTCTGCCAGCCTCACACTCTAAACGAGTAAAGCTCTGCCACCAAATGGGTACTGTATTTGAGGAAACCTTCATTAGAACTTTCTGAACTTCGAAAATTATACATAAAGGCTTTGAGCGTCTGTAAAAATAAAAACAAAAATGTAAAGGCTAACGGAAGTGGAAAAAAATAGAAAGTGCAGTTGAGTGGGCCACAGGAAGCTCCCAGTCCCCTAGAACTACCCACTGTAGCCTGTTATGAAGGCAGGGCATGTTTTCAGACTTTAATTTTTCAAACCTCTACCGGACCGTTATTACAGTAGTCATCCTGCATCATCCCCAACGCATTCACGTTAGCATTCTTTCCCCTCTACAGTTGGAAGCTGTCCACCTAGGTTCAAGAACCCTTCCCTTCTTCGGCCTGGATCTCCCCCTCCTCCTGCTCAGGGCCTTTGTTCTTACAATTCCCCGCTTCCTCCTGTATCTTCAACCCCTCCCTCTCTGATGGCTCCTTCCCATCAGCATTAAAAACAAAATAAGCCCTCCCAGCCCCACCACCACCACCAGCCGCCATCCTATCTCTTTCCTTCTCTTCTCAAACTCACTTCCCCTCCGTCCATCCAGGGAATCCCATGCAACTAAGAGCAACAGCCTGTGTGCTCAGAACTCATCTTCTGGAAAAGGATCGGCAAGCCACAGCCCATAGGTCGAATCTGGCCCACTGCCTGTTTTTGTAAATAATGTTTTATTAGAGCACAACTCTACCATTCACTTATGCGCTGACCATGGCTGCTTTCATGCTACAGTGCAGCACTGAATGGGTGAAAAAAGAACTGCATGGCTAACAAAGGTGAAAATATTTACTCAACTGGCCTTTTACAGAAAAACTTTGCCATCCCCAGTTTCAAGCTTCCCATCAGCATTAGACACTGCTGGTCACTCTCCTTCTAGAAACAACTCTTCCTTTGACTTCCACACCATTAAACTCTCCTGGTTTCCTCTGTCTCTCCTGATCATTCCTACTCTACTGTCCGACATCTAAAAGGTGCTCCTCAAAGCTAAAAACCCTAAACCCTTGTCTCTTTTTATTTTGTGCTCTCAACCTTGCCAACTCTATTTGTGTCCTTCTGTTTGCTACTGATCTACAAATGTACATCAGTAGCAAAAAGAAGGATATGAATAGCTACACAGTCCAGCTACCAGCCTCCAATGCCCACTGCAAACATCACCAATCAATTGTGACAGTCGTTTGGATTCCCCTTCACAACCTTTTGACATGCCCATGGCAGACTCCACTAATTCATCATGACCATTCTGCTAGACTCACTCTCACAAGCCTTTTTAATAGAGCCACAAAAATCAGTGACCAAGAACTGTCATAAGAATCAAGTCTAATTGCCTCTTGGGTCCCTGGATATCTCCGCTCCAACTCAGTGTGTCCAATGCTGAACTCAAGCCTCTCCCTCCCCACCTGAGCTTTGACTAGCTGAGCAAAGAGCCCTCCATCCAAGGACGTGTGCCAACTGCAAGCCTAGTGAAGTGCTCCCTGTCTGAACAATCACCACAGCTTTGCAAGTCCACTTTGGAAAGCTCTCTTGAGTCACGCCACTGCCCTCCTTCCCCCGGCCTCTTCTGCCATTCTGACCACCATTTTGGAATCACTTTGGGCTGGACTGCTGAAAGTGCTTCCTCTTCATTCCCCTGCCCCAGCCTTACTCCCATACAATGGCTTCTGCATACTGTGGTGACACAGGCTTTCAAAAATGCCACTCTGACCCTTCCCACCAGCACCAGCACCACCACCACCTACAGAAAACCATGCCATGGTTTCCCATTGTTCTTCGGAGAGCACCCAAATCCTCAGCAAGTCTTTGTCCCTGACAGCTGACCCCTCTTCACTCTCCAGCTTCACCTTTTTCTATGCCATGCCCACTCCATGTACCTGGAACGTACCAGGTCCCCTCTCTGCACATTGGCAAGCACTGCCCTCCTTCACCGAGCAATCTGCTATTCATCTTCCAGACTCCAGCACTTCTATCACCTCTTTAGGAAAGTCTTCCCTGATCTCCTAAGTCTGAGTTAGGTGGACTTCCCAGGATCGTTGTGGCTGCCTGCTCTTTGCCTGGTACCATACCTCACACATGGTGGTATGATGTACCATGATGTACCATGGCTTAGAAATATGCATGTTTTTGTGGGTGCACACACGTGTGTTTGTACTCCCAGCAGTTTATAAGTGGTGGGGGGAAAGTTCTGTTGACTGGTTTTTGTACCATAGTGGGGATCAGGCCAGTCATCCAGACCCTGTGTTCACTCCAAGTTGCCACAGGCCCTATCTGCCCTGTCCATGTTGTATCCACGTCAGGTACACAATTAGAACTATATATCCATGTTGAATAAATGAGGGCAGTATGCAAATGAATGAAAAATCAGAAAACTCAGATCTATTCATTTGCTCAAGAGCTATTTAATGAGCACCTACTTACTGTGTGCCAGTTACTGCTCCACACCCTGTGGACGCAGAAGTGAGCAAAGTAGCCCCAAGTCCTTGCCTGCACAGAATTGTACCCTGTAGGGGGAGGAGATGCTAATAAAACTAAGTAAACAAATTAGGGGCTCTGTTTGAAGGCAATAGGTGCTAGAGAGAAAATACAGCACCCTAATGGAGTAGCCAAGTCAGAAAACAATCTAGAAGTTTCTCAGAACGTTAAATACAGAGTTTTCGTATGTCCAAGAAAAATGAAAACATTCATCCACAAAAATACTTGTATACAAATGTTCATGACAGCATTGTTCAAAATAGCCAAAAAGTGGAAACGACCCAATTATGCATCGATGGACGAAAGGATAATACTATTTTACAATAAAAAGGAATGAAGTACTGACATGTTACAACTGAAACACCGCAGAAACCACATAGTGTATGATTCTATTTAAATAATATGCTCCGAATAGGCAAATCTATAGGAACAGAAAGTAGATCTGTGGTAGTCTTGGGCTGAGGGGGGAGGCCAGCCCTTGATAGCTAAAGGGTGCAAAGTTCTTTTAGACGTGATAAAATTATTCTAAAATTGATCACGGTGATGGTTGCACAGCTCTTATGAATACCCTAGAAACCACTGGATTGTACATTTAAATGGGTAAGTCGTATGGTATGTGAGTTACATTTCAATAAAGCTATTGCTTACATAAATACAAACAGCGGGTGAGGAGGACAGGCTCAGAGAGGAAGGCATGTGATTTTAGAGATCAGAGAAAGCTTCAAATGGAAAATATTTGAACAAAGGCCTGGAGAAGGTGATGCAGGGGGCCCACAGATATTCAGGGGCAAGACTCAATGATCACCCCAAATTCCATCCTTTTTCTTTCATTCATCACATTCTGTACCCAGTCTTCCTTGCTAATTCTAGTTCTGTGGTTGGCCCTCAGCTTTGTTCTGTGGCACAACAGTGCCACCTAGTGGTGACTCTTGATACACATTCTATAGAAAAGCTGCTAGATGGCTCCATCAGAGGGTACAAATAAAATGGTCAGGGGGCTGCTGAGGGGTGGACCGGCCAGGCAGTGGGATGCATGATCCTCTCCACCGCTAGGCCAGCAGTGAAGGGGAACAGATTTCCCTCCAAGTGCATCCAGATCAAAAGATTTAAGTGCGGCGGTGGTGGCCCAGTGGTGAGCGTAGCTGCCTTCCAAAAGAACATTTAAACCACCTTTGTTTTCAGTGTCTTTCCATTTCTTGCCCTGCTGTATTCATCTTCTGTGTCCAGGGAATCTGCCTCCTCTATGATTCTCACCCTTGGCTGCACTTTTGAATCATGGAGAGGAAAGAATGAGGCTTTATTCAATGCTGTTTTATTGAAGCCTGGGCAAGAGAATATTTTTAATTCCCCAAATGATTCCTCCTAAAACGAACGATGGAAATTAGGTTGCAAGTGAGACCAGCTGCATTAAAGATAGCCCAATAGGGCCCCTAGATTAGTCAATAAATCTATGCCATGCTGTTTATTCCGGCAAGACTCCAGAACATCTCTTATTCGTTTCTTCATCCCCCCTATTTATCTCTCCTTCCTAGGAGCCAAGAATGATGATGCATTGTAAGGTTTTATGAACCTCCTCTGCATAAAGGCATCAAAATTCCCAGCAAACCCCCACACAGACACCTTCACAGAAGCAGTCGTGCAAAATTGATAGCAGAACACTGCATCTTCCGGGTCCAGTTCCCTCCCTGGTGGCTGCAATCCTACACTGGGGAACAGTGAGGAAGGAAGAACAGAACTAGAGAAGTGGACAGCCAGCCACTGACTAGCAGGAAGAGACTCCATCCTCCTGCCCCAGGCACGCCTCTTGGCTCTTTGTGGAATACAGAGGTGGACAGGGCAGGAGGAGTCCTTCCCTGGAAACTAAGCCCCTTCCACAGTTATCTCTAGAATTCATGAAAGCTCTCCCAGGAGTCAAAATCCTCCATTATCACAAAATCTTATCTGTCCCATCCTGTCTGCCTTAGATTAGTTTCAGGAATCTGTTTCTAAGAAGTACTGGTACATTTTGTTTTGAAAAGAACAGGTTTTTTTACTCCAAATAGTCATGCACTTACTCTGGAAATATCTACTGTTCCCAAACATGGCACTAGGATTATAAAAGGACGTAGAGGCTCTAAGTCAGAACAATGTAGGGACTGAAGGTATTTCCCTTGGGCCCACCCTAGATCCTGTGCGTGAGTGTCTAGCATTATTTTGAGGGCCAAAATCCAGTTTATGGATTGCCAGTTGTACTCCTGAAATTTCATGTGGTGCTTCCTGATTGGAGATCATTTTTTTCCATACTTTCTCGACTTCTACATAACCAAGTACAAGGTAATGTAAAAGGTATGTTTTCAGGAAAATTACTGTAGTAAGAAACCGTAGCACCTACCATGTGGAAGGGCTGACCAGCAGGATAATTATAGCTCACCAGGAGCCTATGCTTTGGGCTTGATGATAGATTTTAGGCTAAATATATGGTCGTGTATGTTGCTCTTAGACATTTCAAGTAATAAACCCTTGCGTGGGAAGTAAAAGATAAATTCTTCATATTCCAAATATCCTCCCAAACAGCTGTTGTTTGGGATCCTAGCCGCCCAGCTTTGCCCAGGAGTACTGCATACCCTACCACATACCCGCCAGCAGCCCGATAAGCAGCATCACTACCCATCCTGACCAGGCGTCCAGCAGGCCCTTGATGAACTCCCAGATGGACTCCTTGCTTTTGCTGGTTATCTAGAAACAAAGAGACACAGCAGCTGATGCGAACACATTTCCAAATTCATGCTTCTTTCCCTGAAATGGTTTCCTTGGGAAACAGAGTGGTTGAGAAAATGAATGTAATTAAGCAACGAAATTCCCAGTAACATCATTCTTTCAGTAATGCACCACAATGATAAAATGGGCTTTCAAGTTCACTGAGCAATAAAGATGCCATAATCCAGTATTCTTAAAGAATTAGAATACCAAAACTTCACTTAATTAAAAAAGCATACTGAGTATGATTTACTCTTTGATTATTTAAAGTCCATTCTGAAGTGAGACATTGATTCTACATCACCAGTTTGAATATGAGTTACTACTTTAGTTCACATTGTAAGGTCTGTTCATTAATCAGCATATTTAAGTGGTGGCACACACCTGCAACCCCAGCACTCAGGAGGCTGAGGCAGGAGGACTGCCCTGAGTTTGAAACCCACCTAGGATACACAGTGAATTCATGCCCAGCCTGGACTACATAGCAAAACACTGTCTCAAATAAATAAACAAACAAACAAATGCCTATTCAATAGACTTTATTTGCTACTTTTGCTTTCAAGGTTAATTTTAACAACAAGAAACTTTGAATCAGCTAGCATAGATCATGTTTATCACAGCAAACCGATATGTCTGTGCACGTGGTAAGAACATCCCTTTTCCTCCCATGTTGACAGAACACTTCATTCTGAGGTCATCATTCCCTTCACAACCCTTTAGAGAGGTGGTCAGCGAACACTTTCTGTAAAGGGCCAGGGAGTAAATATTTTGAGCTTTGTGAGTCAAATGGTCTCTATTCCACCTACCCAACTCTGCCGCAGTAGCACAAAAGAAGCCATTAGCAATATGTAAATGAATAGGCATGCCTGAGTTCCAGTGACCTTATTTAATGAACAAGGTGCCAGCTGGCTTTGGGCTGAGAGCCCTAGTTTGCTGATCCCTGCTCTAGAGTGAAGGCTTCCCTGTCTGCCATGTTCCTCCCTGCTGGAGCCAAGAGACTGCATCATCTTGACCAAGCCTTGCTCCCTATGCATCTCTGTTCCTCCTTTCATGCCAACCGTCATGAAATGACGTGACAGTGGCGCTCTGTAACATTCCTCATCCTCCTCTGAAGCAGCTCCCCCACAGACCACTGGCAGCCCCCACATTGTTGGCACCCTCCTACCTTGCCTCTCATGGAGGGAGACCTTGTGAGCAGCCCCCTCCTCGACACTCTCTCCTCCTCTCACTTGGGACCACACTTGGCAGGTTCCCTCTTTCACCTTCAACAGCTTCTTCTGAGTGTCGCTCCCCACATACCCCACCCCAGGGTCCTGACTGCCTGATCCTTCTGCCCAGGCCACCTTGACCGTTTCTAAAGCTTCAACACCCACTTGCATGCCAGGGGCCCCTCGTTCTCCATCGTGACCCTAATCTCATTCTTGAACTGCAGAGTTCCTGCCGCCTGCTTAGCCCGAGCCCCAGCTGCAGGCGAGCCAGGCAGCTTGGTCTCAAAGTATGAGAAACAACATGCACTGGCCTCCCTCTGCTACCCACTGCCACTCTTCTCCTCACTCTCATCAGCCAAGGCATCACACTTGCCTGGCCACCGCCTGGGGCTCCTTGACGCCACTCCATCCCTGCCCTCCAGCCCTCCCCTAAAGCCTGTCAGTGGAGCCACAGAATAGCTCTTCACCCTGTCCTCCCTCTCCATCTGCACTTCATTGCCTTCAGTCAGCCCTTCTTTTTCCTGAGCATTTTTTTTTTTTTGGTACCAGGGATCGAACTCGGGACCTTGTGCTTGCAAGGCAGGTGGTAGAACCACTGAGCTAAATCCCCGGTTCTTCCTGATCTAATTTTTGAGCTTCCTCTTCCTCCCTTCATCTTTATTCAATTCTGTGGCCTTCAACACAAAATATACTCCTCTCCATAGCCCACCTGGTCATTGCCATCACGGATGGCCCCATGGCCTACATTTCCAAACTCTTCCTCGTACCTTCCTTTCACGAATCCACCTGCACACCCTAAGAGCTTTCTGAATTGCCCACGTGTACCATGTTCTTTCATGTCTCTTAAAAAATAAAAAGCCACTCCTGACATTTACAAGTCTTTCCTCCTCTCTCTGCCTAGCAAACTCTTAGTCATCCTTCAAACCCCAACAACAATGAGAAGCCCTACCTTAGCCATCCCTCCTGAATGACCCCAGGGCACCGATTCTTACCCTTATTGTGGTCCATCCCTTATGCCACTGGATGCCAGGCACTGTGAAAATGTGTCTTCACACACACACACACACACACACACACACAATCTCATTCAGTCTTCAAGTACAATTAACTCCATCTTCGTGGGTGAGAAAACAGAGCCCTAGCTATGGCAGCCCCAAAGATGCTCAGCCTGAATGTGTCAGGGGCAGGATGTGCCCTAGATTTACCTGGTTCCAGAGCCCCCCGCTGCCTCCATACCACATTTCCTCAGTACAACAGAGCCTCACACCCAGAGCACCTGCGATCATAATTCTCTGTCCCTATTTCTGCCTCTCTCACTCACCTTTCTCTTCTGAACATAACTGGTGCATGGCACGAGAACCTCCACCCCATGGTGCAGCCATTTGCAGACAGTCCCTTCAGTGCGGTCTTCCACCTACCTTTCTGTGTCTGTCAGTGTCCCGTGACTTTTCCCTCAGCCAATCAATGGTGTGGAAGTCCTCATAAGTCCCCACATCAGGGAATGGCTCATCAAGGAAATCCATCAGGTTTACGGAGCCACTCATCCCTCCTGCACTGACCATACTACTTATACCTGGAGGAGAAAGACAGTGCTTAAAACTGAAGCAGGAAACAAGTCATGGGTTCTGTTTTCTTGTATAAGAGAAATTATTTCAGCATAGGCATCTCTGTTACAATGTAATATAAACACAGCCAGCTCTCATAATTCATTCGTTATGTCTCTTTTTTGCATTACCTGGGATTGAATCCAGGCTTTAACACCGAGCTACATTCCCAGCCCCCACCACCACCACGTATTTGAGACAGGATCTCCCTAAGTTGCTGAGCTGCACAGTTTAGGCTAGAACTTCTGATCCTCCTGCCTCAGCCTCCTAGAGTGCCGGGATTATAGAACTGTGCCACCATGCCCAGCGGCTCATAGTTATAGTCTACAAAGTCACCTCAAACACCGAAATCAGAAAATGCTGGAAGCTGGGTCTGGTGTAATCCCAGCTGCTCAGGAAGCTGAAGCAAGAGAATTGCAAGTTGGAGACCAGCCTGAGCAACTTAGTGAGTCTCTGTCTCAAAATACACAAAGGGTTGGGGATGTGATTCAGTGGTAGTGTCTGCCTAGCGTGCACAAGGCACTGGGTTCAATACCAATGGCACAAAAAAGAAGAGAGAAAATACTGAACCACTGATCCTGAAAGTATTCAGGTTTAAATTCCTGTGAGCCTCTGGTCACAACAGTTTTGTCGGACGATTAAGACATAACCTTGTTTTATGTGTGCTTCTTTTTAAAGACACCTTATTTAGCATATACTGCTGGTTCATTAACATTGAACTCATAGTCAGTGACGCTATTACTCATGCCTAAACAAAGTTTCTGTAACATTTGTATTTTCTCCACAAGGCACAGCACAATCTTCTCACACTTAGGAACACAAGACATCACTGTATTTCAGGGCCACTTTAAATGGCAAAATTACCAACACGAAAGCACAAAAATGCAAAACAAAAGTATGGCACCAAATAAACTGAAAAAGGGGCACTTGTTCACAGTATTGATAGTGGAAACAAAGGCAAAGTGTCACCTTCTGCAACCTCAGCTGCCAGCAGGTGCTTCTGGCAACTCAAACTTTTTGCCTCACTGCACATGCATATGTTTGTAAATGGCCTTGAAAGCACTGTGAGTACTGATTCAGGGCGTTGAATCTGGATCTGGAATGTCTCCTAAAGACTCAGGGTGGCACTGTTGGGAAGTGGCAGAAGCTTCTAGAAGTGGAGCCTAATGGGAGGTCCTTAGGTTACTAGGAGCATGCCTTTAGAGGTGATTGTGGGGCTCCACCCTCTTCCTCTTTTGTGTTCCCACCATGAAATGAGTGGCTTTGTTCCCCGATGTGTTCCTGCCATGATAAACTGCCTCACCACAGGCTCAAAGCAAAGGGGCCAGCTGACCATGGACTGAACCTCCAAGATTGTGAGCCAAAATAAAACGTTTTCCTTGTAAGTTTATTGTCTGAAGTGTTTTTTTACTGTGACAGAAAGCTGACTAATACATCTTAATCAATTTCCTCACTGCTGGGACAAAATACCCAACACGTGCAACTTAAGGGAGGAGAAGCTTACTTCAGCTCATGTTTCAGTCCATAGTCAGACTTTCTCCAGGACAGGACAGTATGGCAGAGGGGCACGGCAGAGGAAAAGTTGCTCACATCATGGTGGACTGGAAGCACACAGCAAGTGGGAAGCCAGGAGTGGAAACACACCCTTCCAGGTTATGCTCCCAATTGCCCACCTCTTCCAACCAGGCAGCTATAAAGTCTTCATTGGACTAATTTGTAGATGAATACAGCACCCCCATAATACATTCACCTCCCCAAAGTTCCATCTCTTCATGCACAAGGCTTTGGGGGGACATTCAAATATAAGCCATGACACTAACACACGGGGTTACAAAATGAGTTTGAGCAAAAAAACAAATTTGCAAATACAAAGCCCATAAGTGAAGATCAACTTTATGCATTTCTGAAAACTCTCAGGTTCTGAAAAAAAAAAAAGGCATCAAAAGGAGAGGGCTGGAGAAGCAAATAATTGGAAGAAAACTGATAACTGATTTCCCTGGGAGACAAAGTGAACCACTGAGGCAGGCAGCCTGTGTGGTTGACATCACGAACATTCCAACATGTACAGTAACAGAACGAAATGCTGGCATAACTTTAATTCACTGATATGAGCCAAAGCAATCTGTAGATAGCAGCTCTCTGCACCAGGGGGCGCCACCCTGTGGAGGGACAAGGGAGGCAGAACATGCAAAGCTAGTGGCACCAAACTCCAGGTGCAGAGGCTCATTTTTAATTTCTCTTAAGATACAGCTAAGAGGGCTCCTGCTGCCAAGGCGGTGGCAAAGTTGAATGTGACTTCCTTTCTTGTCTATGATAACAATTCCATTCCTGCTCTTCGGATTCCTGTTGCCTGGAAAATAATCATAAGTGAATCAGTGCATCTTCTCCATTCTACCACCATCAAAGCCTGATCTGCAAATCACATAGGAGCCCATTTGAGATGTAGAAAATGCTTTGCAACAAGACCAATGCTCACCCAGTTGGCAGAAAAAACAATACACTTTCACAGAGGAGAGAGGTTGGAATATGCACTAAATAAAAATTACTCTGGCAAAGAGTATGGAAATTTGAATTATAGAATGAGGACCACAAAAGTGCCGGAATGGATGGTTAAAAAATTGAAAGTGGCTATAAAAATGTTTGAGTGCAGACTTCTCCCATTGCTTTATATATTTATATATTTGGAGAACTCAACCACGACTCGATGAAACAGAATTTTAATCAAATTGAAAAGTCACTATGGGCAAAGTAGGGTGATCGCCTTACAAGCAATAAAGTGGCCACAATGATTGATTTATTGACCATGTGTGAAACTTGGTTACTTTAAAAATTTCAAAGTCCGAGGTTCGAGCTGTGCCAAGTCAAAAACAATACCCGCTGATGAGTACCCAGGGAAGAATCACGTTGCATAAGTCAGTAGCAACCAATAATATAACCAATAATATAAGGGAAGGAATAAAATTAGAAAGCAGAGATTTCATTCTCATTCTACAAAAACATGATGGCCATAATCTCTTATTCTATGTGGTAAAGAAAGCTGAATATATTTGATGGGAAAAATCAGATGATGAGCTGTTGACCCACAAGGCCAAGCCCTCATTAGAGAAGCTCAGCCAGCCAGCAGATAGAACTGCAGGAACTTGAACAGTCTATTGAAAATGATTTGATTTGACCTGAAATTTAACCAAATCTGTAGTCAAGCAACTCCTCCAGGTAATAATGTTTGAAACAGAAAGTGACTCTGGAGAACAATTACATCTTTAAACTTTGATGGAGCACGGCAAGGGCATGACCATTAGGTACAGAAATGGTAGAAGAAAATAAACAGTATCCAATCTGCAGAGTCTCTGTTGCTTCCTGGGTGACCCAAAGGAAGTGGTGATGTCACTTCTGAGGTTGGGATTAAGAGAAGAGGAGAAGAGACTTAGGGAGGGCCAGGTAAAGAGCAAGAAGTGGGCAGTCGCGTGAGAAAAACAGAAGGGATGCTGTCTGGGATCCACTGAGGAGATGAAAATGGAGGAGGAACTGAAATCTAGACAGCGAGGGAGCAATCGGGATTACTCCCAAGGAATTGCTGAGATATAAACTCAACCTCTGTCAGTTCAATACAAAGATCACCACAAATGGACACAAGCTGTCATCTGCATCTGAAAAGGGGACTCTTCCCCTTTTATCTGTGACCCAAACAGCCTCTCAACTGTTTTTCTTTCTTCTCTCCAGCAGGAACACTTCTTGAGGCCATGGTTTCAAGGAAGAATAGCATCCTAGAGCTGAGTCTGAGATTTTCACTGAGCCTGGATCACTTAGGTCAGGGCTCAGCAAACTGTTGCCCATGGGCCAAATCAGGCTGCCTGGTTTTATAAATAAAATTATATTGGCATACGGTCATGCCTACTTGATTACATGTTCTCTATGGCTGCTTTCATGTTACAAAAGCCGAGATAAGGAGTTACAACAAAGACCACATGCCCCAGAAAGTCTAAAATGTTTATTATCTGACCCTTTACAGAAAAAGTTTGATGACTCCTGATCTATGCAGTAGACTGACTGCAAAAATGGCCCATATCTTCCACCCCATTCTGTATCCATAGTCTTGTTGATTTGATTTCTTCATTAAGACATGGAGTCTGTTTCTCTACTCCCATACATCTCAACTGGCCTATCACATGTGGAAGAAGAGGCAGCTTGTATATACTGAGTCTAGCTCCCAACAGTTGATGCAGCCTCAGCTTTCTTTCTTGAAGAAAGAAAACTTCTGCCCCCACCATGAGAAGCAACCTTGGCTACAGTGGTGGAAGATGACAGATGGAGCTAAGTGAGATCATCTCCATAAGGCCACCCTAGACAGTCTAGGCCTTGCTGACCACAGATTCATAAGTGAGCCCAGCCAAAACCTTTGGCCCAACCTATAGACTTGTGAGAATAATAAATGGCTATTAGGGCTGGGGGTGTAGCTCAGGAAAAGAGTAAGAACTTAGCACGTGTAAGACACTGGGTTCGATTCCCAGCACCAAAAAAAAAAAATTATTCTTTTAAGCCATTGAGCTCTTTGAAGGAGTCGCTATGTACAGCGTCACAGCAATGGGTCACAAATAAAAGTGACTGGACTCAGAGGGAAAGAAAAATGAAGACAAGTCCAACTAACCACAGCAATACAGACCAACTCCAGGGGAAGAGGACTGCAGTGGCCATAGATGGCGAAGCCACAAGCACACACAGAATAGAACAGAATTTTGCCCTAGCTCATGCTGGCTGCATCCTGCCCAACAAGATAATATCCTGCCTATGCAACCATTACCTACCTACAAACGGACTTTGGATGACCCATAGGACACTTATGTCTTTTACCCAATCACTTAAGAAAGTATCTGGGGTTTGGGCACTCAGCATGAAGCCCCCGGGAGCTAGGAAGGATCAAAGTGTTCAACAGCAGTTGATAACAACAGACCCTGTCCAGTAAAATTCCCTT